GAAGAATCCACCTCCCGTGGGGAAAATTGCAGATGGTTTGGGGGACGGCTGGGGTAGACAAGGGCGGTGGATGTAGCGGACACTGTTCCGTTCCCCAGTCATAATCACGACTTGACTGATTCTGCATATATCTCGCGTCTTCCTTCTCCAACCTCTGATGAGCCTCGGAGTGGTCCTTGGCTCGGCGACTTCACTGATCCAAAGTCGATTGCAACGGAGTTCCATTACAATCCCAGTGTAGCCCGACCACATTCAAGATGGGCTTCCTCAAGTCAAAGACTACAAAGAAGACGGCCGAACAGGCCGTCGGCTCTGACCTGACAGCAGTACGTTCTTACTCGCTGTTGCCCCCATCACCCGAAACTCCACCAGATGACATGCCTCAACTCTCTGCCATGACGAACTCTAACATCAGCTCAAGGTCCTGCCCGAAAACCCTGCACCATGGTACCGTACCAAGCACTTGCTTCTGCTCAACCTGACTCTTTTGGTTCCGATGTTTTCGTCTGCCTCGGTGGGCTTCGACGGTGCCATGATGAATGGGCTGCAGACGATTGAGCAATGGCGCGGCTACTTTGGTCATCCAAGCGCACCGATCCTCGGCACGATGAACGCTGTGTACCCCATCGGCAAGATCATGGGTCTGGTTCCTGTAACATGGCTGGCAGACAAATATGGTAGAAAGACACCGATGTGGATTGGGTTTTTCCTCCTGCTCCTCGGCGCCGCACTGCAGGGAGCCAGTGTTAGCTTGCCCATGTTCATCGTCTCTCGTTGGCTCCTCGGTGCCGCGACTGCGTTCATCGCGCAGCCCGCGCCCATTCTCGTCACTGAGCTCGCCTATCCGACTCAGCGAGGAAAGATCAGTGCGCTCTACAACACATTCTTCTTCTTTGGGGCGATTCTCGCCGCATGGTCCACCTGTAGGCCTTTCAACCCCTGAACCACATCCTTCTTTGGTTAACCTTGTGCAGATGGAACCTTCCGCTTGCCCTCGACATGGAGTTGGAGAATCCCATCAATCTTGCAGGGTGCCCTTCCCGCAATCCAATGTGTATTCTTCTACTTCGTTCCCGAGTCACCAAGATGGCTGGTTGCCAATGGCAAGACCGATGTTGCCCGCGAAGTAATCACCCGCTACCACGCCGGCGGCGACTCATCCGCGCTTCTTGTCGACTACGAAATCAAGGAGATTGAGGAGAACCTCCGTATCGAGATGGAGGCATCCAAGGAGTCTTCCTACCTCGACCTTCTCAAGACTGGGCCGAACCGTCGGCGAACTCTGATTGCAGTTATCGTTGGTATTGGTGCTCAATGGGTATGTCTTTAATCTCTTCCGAATCCATTTATGGGGATTGGTAGCTAACTCGGAACAGTCTGGCAGTGGCGTCATCTCCTACTACCTTACCCTCGTGCTCAACACTGTCGGAATTACCGCTACCAAGGACCAAGCGCTCATCAACGGCCTCCTCCAGGTCTTCAACTGGATCGCTGCCGTGTTTGCGGGTGCGATGATGGTGGACCGCATTGGCCGTCGGAAGCTCTTCCTGATTTCAACCGCCGGCATGCTGGTCTGCTATGTCATCTGGACCATCCTCACCAGTGTGTTCGCGAGGACTAAGGACGAGAAAGCTGGCTACACGGTGGTAGCATTTATTTTCATCTACTACTTCTTCTACGACATCGCCTGGTCGCCGTTGCTCATGGCCTACCCCGTCGAGATCATGCCGTACACGCTTCGCGGAAGGGGGTTGACGATTTCCCTGGGATCTACCTTTATCGGTCTCATTATCGGACAGTTCCTCAACCCCATCGGTATGGCAAATCTGGGCTGGATGTATTACATCGTCTTCTGTTGTATCTTGGCAATTCTGCTGGTCTTGATCTGGTTCCTCTTCCCCGAGACGAAGGGTAGGACTTTGGAGCAGATTGCCGAGGTATTCGACGGCAAGAACCATTCGCTCGGTATCAGTGGCGTTGGAGAGGAGAAGTTGAAGGACGATTTTGTGGAGGTTGAAAACGTTGCGGATAGAAAGGTCTAGAGTTGCGGTTGCTGCATGCACACGGCATAGCCAAAGAGCGATTCCCAATGCTCCTCCAGCCTTAATTGACAAAGTTCCTGTTCGCAAAACGGAGTTGAAGTCCTGATCAATACTTGTGGAGTTGACCTGCCTTATGATAGCGGCTTGAAAGACTGCAAAAATTGCGCCCCTTGAGTATTGAGCTGTAGGCTGTGTCCCCGTGCCGATGCCAAGGGCCAGGAGAATTCGGACAGCAGTATATAATTAAAGGCACATTCCACTCGTTGAAAACTTTGGCCGGCATACCGAATATGACATCTTTTACTGGATCCTGCCTTTGCGGCGGCATTATTGTATCGATTTCGGCAACCCCTGTAACTACATTCACATGTTCCTGTGACCACTGCTGCAAAGGCGCAGGAGGCACACACCAAGTGGTAAGTCCAATGAAGACTACAGCAATACAGTCCCGAAAGCAAGCTGACGCGATGTAGATTGCCAAATTCCCTCATAAATCCGTAGCCATTACATGCGGTTCAGACCTCGTCTCCCACTTCACACTCCACAACACTTCGAGCGGCTCACCCAAAGAAAAGGCGTTCTGTCGCGTCAGCGGGACCCCACTCTGGACGGCCCCCGCATCGGCCCAGGGGCAGTTTCTCCTCATCCGGACGAGTCTCCTGGATGGTGGGTATGTATCCGTAATGCACAGGTTCGGATAGGCGAACTCAAGCACGGCGCTGACCAGTCTCGGAACAAGATCCAACCTGACGCCGGAGGCTGAAATATTTGTGAAGTCACGCCCCGCTTGGCAACACGCGGTGGACGGAGCTGTTCAATGGGAGGGCATGAGAAGATAAGCTAGTGTGGTTTCCGTAGTCAGTGGATAACCCCGGACATGACTCGGACAACATCCGGAAGACTAGACTGAACGAATCAGACAGCGTTCCGTTTTCCGTGCTCCGCCAAAAGCGTCTTGGGACCCACTGCTCTCTTCAAGAGTCTCCCAAGCTTCTTCAGGTCGCGTCGGAACTCGGCGGCGCTCCCAGAAATTGTCCTTCTTCTCCATCCAAACATTCCTGTCCGACCCCGAACTTTGCTTATTCTCCCCGCAATCTCCTATCTTGCTTTGACGAGTGGTGTCCGAGGTCCATGATTAGACTTGGCCTCCAGCGTCGACCTGCTTCCGAGCCGCTCACCACGTCATTCCGTGAGGACTCCTCGTCTCTCGGGAGGGGGGCTCTGCGCGTTGAGATACCGATCCTCACGTGCGTGCGCCCGCTATCGTTCCAAGCATGGCCAGCGGCGGGATGGAGAAAACAATGGAGCCCAAGCCGAAGCGGATCAAAATCGATGTGGCATGCGAGGCATGTCGGAGGAGGAAAGTGAAGTGCGATGGGGCGCGCCCAGGTGAGTTCTCGGTGAGTGGTCTCGTCCGGCCAGTCTGATGTGCTCTGATGCTTGGCTGGTGGGGTTCGGCACGGAAGCAGAAGTCCACTGCGGCGGCTTCTAGAACGTTTCGTCTCTTCCGAAGCTGAAGTCATCTGATTATGCGTATGCTAACGCTGCGATACAGCATGCGGAAATTGCTGGAAGAGGACGGACCTGAGAAATGGCTGTACCTACAGCTCAGAAACCCCAGAGAAGTCGCTTCCTGCTAGGGAAAGGACTTCAGATGTCAGCCCGGGCAACCCTCAGATGACGTTGCCCAGCATTCTCCATACCCCAGAAGCAACCTTTGCGCAACCTCCTCTGCCTCCCGGTCCCCGGCCCAATGCCACGCCAAAGTCGACGACATCGTCCGGTCCAGACCTGACAAGGCGAGGCCGGATGGATCGCCATCCCATCACCCCGTCCGATGCAAGTCCCTCGGTCGTGGATTCGATGACAACTGTGCGGGAGGATGGCACAGTGACTGGCGAGTACTTCGGTAGCAGCAGTGCAGGCTCCTTCACCAACCAGATCAAGGCAGCGATAGATGCCAGATTGGGATCGACAACGGAGACTAGAGGACCAAGGGGCTCTATCTTCAAGTCATCACTCCCTTTGAATGCAGGAGGCCCAGGGGGGCAAGCTGACTACGTGCTTCCAGCGCGAAAGCAGGCAGACCACTTAATGGATCTATACTGGTACTATGTTGATCCTCTGTATCCCTTTCTGGACCGCCAACGGTTTGACCATTCGTATCGCGCTCTCTTCGCTGGTACGTCACTTGATGCGGATGAACGAGTATTCGTGAGCATACTTAACATCATATTCGCTCTTTCTACTCAGCTGATTGAGTCTATGCCGCCTGAGCAAAGGGACTCATCAAGCCAAGGGTACTTCACACGTGCTCAGGACCTCCTGCAGCTTATTCTTTGGGATACAGGGTCTGTTGAACTCATTCAGTGTTTACTTATCATGAGCCAATATCTCCAAAGCACAAATAATCCTCACCAGACTTGGATGATCGTTGGGTCTTGTGTAAGGATTGCACAGGGCCTAGGGCTTCACCTGCCGGAGACAGCATTGGAACTTTCCAGCGAGCCTGAGAGAGACCTGGTCCGGCGGATATGGCATGGCTGCATCCTCATGGATCGGTGAGTTTACAATCTCGCTCGTTGTGAATTCATGTAGCTTACATCATCGCCCAGGATGATTGCCATTACCCACGGTCGACCAGCAATGATCTCAGATCATCTGGCATCGACTGTAGTTCTACCTTCAATACCAGACGGAGATGCCCAAGGCGGAAACACCGTTGAATTGCATCGTCTCAGGTATCAGGGCTTCTTCGTGAAATCGTTAGAATTGTACGAGGTCATCAACCAAGCGGTTCTTGCATTCTACACCGCTTCACCTAGACTGAAGTCTCCCACATCACCTAGCCACTTAGGTCAACATTCCCAAGAGCGGCATGAACTTGATCTTGGTGTTGCTTTGCAGCTGGACCAGCGCCTTACGAAATGGGAAAAGAACACGCCATCGTTCCTGGCCATGGCTGAGCCGGAGACCCAATTAGATGAGGTCTTTCGCAGACAGGCCGTCATTCTTCGGATACGGTAAGTCTTCAGGTTCCACTTGGGAGTGAGGGCTCATCTCTGACACATGACCAGACTTCTTCATGCTCGAATGTTACTCCTGAGACCAATGCTCACACGCTTCTGTTTGTCTCAATGCCCCGATTCAACACAAGTTCACGACGACCTCTCGTCTCGCGTCATGCAGCAGTGCGCCATGGTCTGCGTCGAGGCAGCGCAAAGCCTCATCTCCGTCATTGTCCAATTCCAACGGCACGACGGCACGCTCGGTCTCCTTCCCGCCTGGTGGTATCGGGTGTTCTACATTTACACCGCCGCCACAGTTCTCATTGCAGCTAGACTGCGCCCAACAGTCTTCTCTTCACTCGACATTTCCAAATCCTGGAACCAGGCCATGGCTCTTCTACACGATCACGAAAGTCTCGGACCTTCGCCCAAGAGATGTGCTGCAGCACTCCAAATTCTATCGACCAAGATGTTCCAGGAGCAACCACAACCACAGACGCTTCCCAACTCCGAAGCGAACCCAGCAGTACCAGCTGTGCCCAGCGAACAAGAGACTTTCGACATGCCCTTCACGTACATGGCACAAGACGCAGCATTTGACATGGATGCAATATCATTCGATGTCAACGACTTTTCCTGGCTAAACAGTATGCCAGGAAGCCTGTAAAAGATACTGTCGGGCGTCCCTATGTATATAACAACATTCATTCATCGCAGAGATACCCGTCCAATGTTTTCAACTGTCCAGACTTAAGTCGACTGCTGAGGTTTTACTCAAACACCATCTTGTTCTTCACACCACCCAACTTGCTTATCCTGACCTCAACGACGTCGCCATCGTTCAGATACTTGGGCGGCTTCATACCCATAGCAACTCCCGACGGCGTTCCCGTGAGGATCACGGTTCCGGCCGTCAACGTTGTGCCCTGGCTGCAGAAGCTGACAATCTCCTCGACGCCGAAGAGCAGGTCGCCTGTGCTCTCATGTTGTCTCTCTTCACCGTTGACAAATGTCTGCAGAAGAAGGTCGCTTGCGTTGCCAACAACCGCCGGAGAGACGAGCATCGGGCTCAGCGGGGCGAACTTGTCGAAACCCTTGCTGAAGCACCACTGGGGTACACCGCCGGCCTTGGCGGGGTCTCTTTGCCATGCCCTTGCTGAAACGTCATTTGAGGTGAGGTAGCCAGCGACGTACTCGAGAGCCTTCTCTTTGGGGACGTTCTTGGCGTCCTTTCCGATCACAAAGGCCTTGTATCATCATCAGCTTAAGTTCTGATGAGCGAGGGAAAACTTCTTACCAACTCGCCTTCGTAGTCCACCGTACCGTCCTGAGCGACCTTTGGAATTGGGACATCCTCATTCCATGCGGCGACAGAGGTCGCCGGCTTGATGAACACGGACGGGTATGGTGGCGGTGTTCGGCCGCCTTCCTTAACTGTAGACAGTCAGCATTTTACTCTGATCATTGTTCTGATAAGGGATGTGACCTACTGTGCTTGACATAGTTCAGACCAATGCACCGAACAATTGGAACATCCTTCGGTGCTAGGAGGGGTCGCAGGGCCTTGACGTGCACGCGTTCGCCCTTGGTCAGGGTTGAGACGGGACTTGCGCCATCGAAGACCACGGCCCACAAGTCATTCTTGTCCAGTCGCTCCGTCAGTTCCGTCTCATTCTGGATCTCTGGCTCGCCAAAATGCTCGACATCGTTGTCATCAACGAAGCGGACAAGACGGTTCCAAGACATGATGGGCAGATGTGTGGCAGAAAATAGGTGTTTATTTCTATTTTAGCAACAAAGATGCCGTTTCGCCGCAGTTCTTGGACAAATCTCTCTTTAAAGCGCGTTTCTGAGATGATGCTAATGTTCCCCTCAATGGTCCCTTACTGGGGCATCTGTAAGTTGAGCCAATCATGGTTGGTTCCGGTGGTGGTGGTCGGGGAATTGTGCGACGCGTCGGAACTCGGAATGAGGCCAGCTGCATGCACCGGACCCGTCCCGGGTGGCGCCGTTCCGCACCTTTACTGCGGGCAAGGGGGTCAGCAATCCGGGGATAATGGGGAAACGCTCCTTGATAACCTCCTTCAATGGTCCCTCCAGCGTCCAACTTCATCTCTTGAACTGCGCCTTTCCGACCAAGCCGATTCAACTTCATTCTCACCATCTGTAACGTCTAAACGGCTTTCTCTTCGTCACGAACACAGCCAACCTTGAAGCTTACTTACCACAACCGCCAATATGGATTCCCCTCACGAAGACGACCAGTCTGCCAAGGCCATGACTGACTACCTGCAGCAGCTCCCAGCCCAACACCTTGAGCCACTATGGTCCCAGATGAACGTGATGGTGCCACCAACGCCACAGCCGGTCGCACGGCCACACATCTGGAAGTACGCCGACAACCTCCCTCTCTTGCACAAGGCCGCCGAGATGGTCGGCGAGAAGCAGGCTGAGAGGAGAGTGCTGATGCTGGTCAATCCTACCATGCGTATGTTTGATATCACCCACAACGTGACCGTTGAGGCTTATACATCGTAGAATCACCTTACACCACTGACACCATCTACGGTGGTCTTCAAATCGTCAATCCTGGAGAAACCGCACCAGCCCACCGACACATTGCATTCGCCCTCAGATTCATCATTGATGGAGAGGGCTTCACTGCCGTCGAGGGAAAGAAGATGCCTCTTAGGAGAGGTGATGTCGTCGTCACGCCCGTCTGGCATTGGCACGACCACGGCAACGAGAGTGATGCCCCCGTCATCTGGCTGGACGCTCTCAACCTTCCACTATTCAGATTCACTCCTGTTCACTTCGCGGAACAGTATCACGAGAGCCGTTACCCTAGCGTGTAAGGACGTTCCCACAAGCTTTATGAATATGTACTAATATCCAATAGTTTGACTGAAGACTGCGAATGGAGGCATCCATGGGACAAGGTCGAGGTCGAGCTCAAGGCCCAAGAGGGTCCTCACGCCGTCTACCACTACACCAGCAACGGAAAGCCACTATCCCCCATTCTCGGCGCCCAGGCTGAGCGCATCGATGGCCACCACACCACGAAAGAGGTGCGCGAGCAGGCCTCGTTTCTGTACCACTGCTACGAGGGCCAGGGACAGACCATTGTAGAGCCGCCATCAGGTCCCCGGGTCATCTTCAAGTGGTCCTCGAGGGACACGTTCGTCGTGCCTGCGTGGTCCAAGATTCAACACATCAACGACCTTTCTACAACGGCGTACCTGGTTGCTGTGAGTGACAGGCCGCTGTTGAGCAGTATTGGCCTGATCAAGCCGGAAGCTTCGGAGTAATGTGAAGGAGCGAAAGCTCTGTTGAGATCGGACGGGGTCATACGAAATACATGAGTTAGTCGAGTTCATCAAGCGAATGTTCAACCTAGATTGTTCAATACCAAGGAAGTCACTTTATTCACTGATCAATTGTGCGTGTGACATTACGAGAATAGAAACCGACGCTTTATCCTCTTGTTCAAGAATCAAGATTGGATGGCTTAGCTACCCGTCAAAGGCAAAAGCCTCTTTTTTTGGCATGAATACACCGTAAAAACGTACACAGGGACTCCGGAGCTGAAAAATAATCCCCGACTATCCGAGATTCAATTGTGTAATGTCGGACTGTTCGCTCTTTATGTCCGACGACACAAACACAAATACAGAGAGATCATGTCCTCCTGAGCCCACTCTAAGTTTTGAGGTGCACATTCCGTCTGATCAATTGCTATTCATCGAAGAACTCCTGTTTCAGCTGATATTCGCTCCTGTAGTGCAAGAGAGCTACATATTCAAGCACGCACTCACTGTACCGGATCCCTTACTGTCAATCCAGCTGGATCATCTCACAACTATAACGAAGGTTTCTAAAGTCCCACCTACTCATTCAAAATCTTGCCATCATGGAGAACTGGATGTCAATGCTCCAATCCGATTCATCCGGTAGAACGCATGTACATCTTCGTACGGCCAATGCTCCATCTCAAATTCCCACGTGAGATAGAGTTTCCTTCCGCACACAAGGGCGAATCACTTGTATCCATCGGGAATGGAGGTTCGGATATTCTTCCAATCACGTTGATACATGTTCCTTGGTCGTACAAGCCACTTGTTTCAAGGGAACCTTGCTTACCGTCGATACCCTGCAACTCGTTCATCTTCGTGCGTACGAAGCATGGGCCATGCCCGTTGGGTATTGCTCTTCTGGCGCATCTTGGGATGAGTTTCCCGCTCTACCGCTAGTAGAGCGTGAGTTTCGTTCCTAGCCAGTGAGCATCTGGTAGTCCCTATTCCACAAAATTCTTCCCGTCCGTGGTCTCCGCATCTACGTGACGTTAACCGCGATGCTACGTTCGTCACCCGGCCGTACTCGTTCGATGGCGATTAGGGAAATATCGACGCCCTAGACCTCATGGCGGACAGGAGCGCGCAAGTCATCGCCGTGGCCATTCTGTTCTTGGTTTTGACGTGGCTTGCGGTCGGCCTGCGGATCTACTGCCGAACGTTCCTGATTCGGTGCATTGGTAACGATGACAAGGTGATGGGGATTGTCCTGGTATGTGTTGATCGCATAGCTGGCAAGACGTATTGAAGCTAACAGATCCACTTATAATAGGTGCTGTTCACGGTCTATCTAGGTTTACAGATTTACGGCGGCACGCGTGGGATAGGTCTTCTCGATGTCGACTTGACCCCCCAGAAGAAGCTCGAATCCCTCAAAGTCAGTTCCCATACTGCTCAATTGGAAACGTACTGACATCGAGGTCAATTAGTTGTGGTGGATACTGGAACTGCTCAACGTCTGCTCAACCTGCCTGCTCAAAATCTCCGTCGGCTATTTTCTCCTCCGCGTCGCAATAGAACGCCCTCACATCCTGACGATATGGCTCCTGATGGCCGGAACGGTAGTCTTCGGGACGACGTATCTCCTCATGGTCGCATTCCAGTGCCGGCCCGTCCCTACATACTGGGAGCAAGGGCCCAGAACACCAGATAAGTGCTGGCCGCGGCAGGTCATCCTCATCATGACCATCGCAGCGACGGTGATCAACACGAGCGCGGACTTCATCTTCGGCACGCTCCCGTGGTTCATCGTCCGATCCATGAACCTGCCGCTGGGGACCAAGATTGTGGTCGTCGGTATACTTGGTCTGGCCGCAATGTAAGGCAGAACTTCTCCCTAAAGCAGGTACTCTACGCAAGGGTCAAGGCTGATGTTGGTGGTTGTGTAGCGGTAGCACGGCTACGGTTGTACGGGCGTTTTACATACCGACTTTACTCAATGGTCAAAACTTCTTGTGTACGGCAATATCTCCGTTACACCACGGCAACACGTCAGACTAACCTAGGCATGCGTAGATGAGACCACCACCTTCGCAATCTGGAGCACCGTCGAGCCAGGCGTCGGGATCATCGCCGCCTCCATCGCCACCCTGCGCCCCCTCTACAAACTCGTCGCGACCAAGATCCGCCGCACCAACTCCAGCGGCTTCCGGCGCGACCAATGGCGCCAGCGCCAACAAGCCCGGCGCAACGAGACCATCCGCCAGGTCCGCGCGGCACACAACCTCGACCCCGAGAATCCACCACCAACTGACGCGGACCTCACATCCCCCCACGGCATCTTCGAGGTCAACCCGCCGCCGCTGCCACCACTAAGCAAGAACACCAACTCGACGCTGAAATCCAGGACGACGACGACGGATGGAGGGGACCGCCATAGTCACAGCACGCGGCATACGTTGACCCTGATGGAATTTCCCTCGGCATTACGGCTAAGCGACGACTTCCGCCGGACTATGCAGCGGCCTCCCGAGGAGTGGCTTGCGATTTTACGGGTTTGTGTTCCAGACTCTTTTGTCACCGATTCCATTTTGTTGGTCCAAAGAAACTGACGCATTTTTCAAAACAGGCCGAGGAAGGGGAGGCTGACCCAAAAGCGGTCGAGGAAGAGGAGGGCGACGAGCAAGAAGACAGCGATGCGGAGGAAACCGAGACCCCGCCAACCGTTTTATCGCCACCCCCGCCGGTGCGGAAAGCAAGCTAGCAGCACAGCAGAGAATCTCGAATCTGTCGAAAGCAAGGCCTTCAATCCGGGCTAGGAAGGGACATGGACATGTTAGGGATAACCAGTGGATCGATCAAAAACACGACGGATGACGCCGGTGACCGTCTACTGTGTATCAAACAACAGAGGCCCAGGGGCACCTCGGGCTCGGAAGGCACAAACTTTACACCCAATATAGAATCCGTTATTTCCTCAATTAATACGCAATTCTTGCCTGAAAGTTGTTGCTACATAGCGTTAATGATTCTCATATGAATACCCATCGTCTGCAACGCGAATTCTGTTCGGTATATTTATATCATAGTTACCCACAATAATGACAACGGACGACGGTACTCGGAGTTCAAGCCGAGTTTACCGAAGCGGGGCCGGACATCGGAGCTGAATCACCGCCGGGGGGTCCACATCACCGGGAGAAGTAGTTTGCACGAAATAATGGCGAAAAGAGGTCATGTAAATGCCGCGACTTTCTTGAGTCCGGGGAGAAAACTCAGATGGCTTCCCTGATTGAATTCTTTTCGTTTTGCCTTTGGAAGCGACAGTCGCTTTTTGCTCAAAACTCCTGCAAACGTGCCTGCCACATGGGGTATCTATGCCAGCAACAACCATGTTCCATCCTCCGTCGATATTTCTACCTTCGTGTATATACATCACGCAAGGTCTCTTGTCTGTAAGATCTTGCTAAGTTCCTTCAGCTTCACGGGCTTCGTCAGGAACAAATCGATCCCGCTCGCAAAAGCTTCTTCCTGGGCGCTCGCCGATGCCAGGCCCGTGAGGGCAAACACTTGGCACCGCGGTATGTTTTTCCTCGTCTCGAATACACGAATCTCGCGCGTAGCTTCGAACCCGTCCATAACGGGCATAGAAATGTCCATAAAGATGCACTTGTACCGGCCTTCGCTCTTCCTGAAGGCTTCGACGGCCTGTTTTCCATCCATTGCTGTCGTGTACTTGTGGCCCAGTTTCTTCATGTACTCGGACAGAATCCTCAGATTGATCGCGTTGTCGTCTACGAGAAGGAACAAGTCTGGGTCGCGATCGCTCTCGTTAGGTGACTGGCTTGGTTCCGGGTTGCCAGGTGTTGGCGTCGATGGCCTGGGACCTGGACGTTCTGGCAACGTCATGGTTTTGTCCTCCTCTGTTTCTGCTTGCTTTATTGTGTCCGTCGAGTATGTTGCTGCTACATCTGTAACCCCGAAGTATTCCGTCTTATCGGGGATGGCCTCCGTGCTCATGGCCGATGTTGATTGAAAGTCTAGCGACTCTAGCCTAGATTGCCCATCAAGACGTCCTGGTTCGGCACTGGCCAGTGATAAAGCCGTGGGTGTCATGATGGCAGAGGCTTGTAGTTTTGTCCATCTCCTGAAGCTCAGCAGCAAAATGCGAGCCAGCTTCCTCGGCCCAATGCTGTGATGTTGTTAGTCTGAAACCGGTACGTCGGGCACAGCAAAACTTACGGCTGAGATACGAATTCGAACACGACTCGCCGGCCTGTGAACCGAGGAGAGGTCGCCAATTGTCTCGCAATCAATGCATTCCGACATACGACGACAACAGGAGTGGATACGCCATGGTGTCTCCGCTCGTAAAGAAGACGGTCAAGATTTCGCTCCGTAGCCAGAATAAGATCGGGAAGCAGTTTGTCAAGAGACGACTCGTCAATGACGTGCATTTGCAGCCACTCGCGACATAGTCCTTCGAGTAAGGCGTGCTCACTTAACACGTTTGCAGAAAGCTCGTCCTCAATATTGGTGCCAATTCTGGTTGGAAATCCAAGCAGACGGACTCGGAGTCCTTTCAACTCGCTCACTTGGGCGCGGAATTCATCGAAGTTTACCGTCTTCGGGATGCTCGTCTTGGGCGAGGGTGACGAGGCCTGCTGCAGCGGCAACTTGACAGTGACTTTGGTACCTCGATTGACCTTGCTCTGTACCTGGATCGACCCTCCCAAGCGAGTAACTACCTCCTTAACGAGACTCAAACCAACGCCTGTGCCTGCCGAGAGCGTGTCTTCTTGGTGAAAGGGGGCATAAAGATGATACCGTAAGTAATCTTCGGACATGCCTTTCCCAGAGTCGGCGACCACAATCTGAATTTCTCGCGACCCTTGTATGGAAGATTCCACTTGGAGAACGTTGACGTTGATAAAGCCCCGAGTGGTGTACTTGAGTGCGTTTCCGAGGATGTTTAGGATTATCTGGACCTGTTAGTTATGAAATCTTTGGTGAAAAAGACACAGGGACAAACAGCCTACCCTCCTCAGTGCACCAGGCTGGGTGTTAAAGCGCCAGGAAGCAGCTGGATTCACATCGTACGTCACTGACACTTCACCGAGCAAGATCTGAGAGTCGCCTGATTTATTACTCTCTGACGACATGTTTTCAAGAGCTTGCATGCTGTCAAGTCTATGCAGGGCGTCGATATCGGCATGTTCTGATGGTCGGTTCCCAGTCAGTCGGGAAACGGCGAAACGCTGGAAGCTGAAGCCGGCGCATACACTCTCAATGACCTCCTCCGCGAGCACGTCGATGTTTACGTTGCGGCTGAGAGACATCATACCAGCTTCGATGTTGTGGTTCTTGTCAGAGGTGCGAAGCCCCCGATCCTCCGTGCCGGAAGCACTGTTTCGTCGTCCAACGGTTGGTCTCAGGAAGTTCCCGAGCTTGCTATAGTCGAGGAGATGATCCATGGTATCCAGTAGGGTCTTTCCGCACGTCTCGACAGAGTGCAGTACATCTCCTTGGAAGGCATCGAGAGGTGTGTCCTGCATCAACTCTGCCCCAAGGAGAATACCGTGTAAAGGCGAACGAAGCTCGTGTGACAGGGAGCTGAGCAAGTCCGACTTCGCCTTATCCACCATCCGAGCATTGTGCTTCGCGACTTCTGACACGATGACAGTCCCGAAGGCTCGTAGATAGCTGAGCTCGCCCTCGATCGTAAGAACGCGATTGGCGGTCTTCGTGTATACAAAGCCGCCCGAATACCACCGTTGCTTCTGAGCATCCCAGAGAGGGACGAGGGCGACGCTACGAGCGCCAGAGAAAAGGGTCATTAGCATTTTCCCCTCATTCTGACGCGAAAGCAGTTTCTTATTCCGTTTGCGGGCTCGATCAGACAGTTCCGCAGGGGACAGTTCCTCCTGGTGCGCCGTGGATAGCTTCTTCTCGGCCAGTGGTGACATCGGCGTCGCTCCATCCTCCTCTGAGAAGTCGGACGACTGTAGAGACCCATTCTCGTCAAAAGCAAAGACTCGACCACTTGGGTATCGACGAAGCAGCTTTGCTAGGAAACGCTCCGAAAATTGACGCTGATCCTTGGAGGTTATCTGCCGATCGATGCTAGACGTCAAAGAGTTGGAGTGGCCGAGGATACGACAGGGAACATCCACCACACTGGAAAGGCTGGCCTGCCTTTGTGTACTGTGGCGCTCATCGCTACTAGACGAGGAGCTGAAGCTTCCCGAAGCTGCTGTCTTGGTGGCCAACCCAGCAAACGAGCCAATCGCCGCATCCAGGAACAGGGCACCTTCGACCTCGATACTCTCACGAATAATGTTTGCCGCCTTGGAGAAGATGTAACTGACGCCTTCCTCGTGGCTATTGTGGCTCGATTTCTCCGTCATTGACTCCATCGTCGTCTCTGTCGTTGGCCGTCTATTTCCGACCGAAACATCCGAAGCCGATGACGGACGACGATGGACTCGCTGCTGAGAGGGGCTGGGCGACTTTTTCGGGCTGGCCAGTGGAGAAGGTGCGACAGACCCAGGCTCAGACTCGTCGTCGTCGGCTTTCTTTGCCGCCGCATTGTCCAGGTCTTGCAGTCGCTGCTGATTCTGGTTCAGGGAGCCTTCGAGAGATTGATCGTTTGTCTGAGATTGCGATCCGAGGTTCGACATGGTAGCTTTCCCTTCGACAAAACTTCCTATACCACGAAGCATTCTCACTGCCCTATGATGTCTCTCGACAGTGCGTTTAGAGTCTAGGTGATCAGTAACCATTCTTGACAACTGCCTCAAAAGCTGGGTAGAGTTGGAGCTTAGCTCCTGTCGTGGTTCGTCGGACCATACAGAGAAGACGCCGATGCTGACACCTCTGCGGGATTTGATGGGCACGCCAGCGTAAAAGCGAGGGTGTGGCCATTCCTTGTAATGAGCCTTTTCCGATGACCTGGGGTCGTCGGCGAGATCGGATATGACAGACACCGGCAGAGCGTCATCCTCAGATGCCTTAGGTTCTGCGGTGCCGGGTGCGACGAGGACGGATTCGCATACCCCGTGGGCGCGAGGAAGAGCCGTCCCGCAAAGCCATAGCTGCTCCCCAGCATCCGTGTCGGGCGTCGCATTTGGGGCCAAAAGTAAATTGGGGGTGGCCTCGGCGACGATGTATTGGCACTTGGTATCGAAGAGGGAAATCAAGGCACGGGAGGCTCCCAAGCGCAATGCGCCCAGCTGGGCGAAAGCAGTAAGGGAGGCATCAGAAGAAGCTCGTAGCTCGGATGGAGGGATAAGATTGGCGGGGTCGTTCTTGCGCGAAGCGGGAATTAGGGTTGTATCGTATCTGCGGCAGTATTAGTATGGGCTGGCAAGCAAAGCATGAAGTTGTTGTTGAGTGCTTACCTGAAGGTTTCGCGCTCGCGGGCAGACTCGATTGAGGCTTTGGTGGGTTTGCCACCAGGCATGATTGGAGACAGTGATTGGGCCCTCCCTCTTGGAGCCTCAAGTCAGCGCGGGCGTGGAGCGACGCAGGATGATGAAATGGTCGAGACAGTGACAAACTGTTTGAGGCAGTACGATGCAGACGATCAGGGGCAGCGTGTTGCAGGTCAGGGCGAGGTATGTGATGTGGTGGCGTGGTCTGGATCGCGGGGCGGGCTTGAGGTGAGGTCGAGGACGGGAAGTCGGAGGGGAGGGGGAGGGGACGCTTGGCGGCAAACAATCGCGATGGCGGGTCGGAAAATTGGAGATTCGGATGGCAAATTGAAAATTGGCATGGGAGCCGGTCTTGTGTGTGCGCCGTGCCGTTCTTCGCGCAGCCCAGAGGAGTGGTGGTCGATGGTCGATGGGCAATGGACAATCCGATATGGCCAGGTCTAGACCGTCTGCTGGGAATGCCGGGTGGTACCCTGTCGCGACCTTCCCTTAGGCTGACTTCTAAAAAGCCCACGACCGGGGCGAGGAATTGCGATGGAAATGTTGTAGAGACAGGCTACGTTTTGGCGTGCTGAAGGCTCGGAAAAATCAGCGAACAGGCAGGACGACACAGGACGGCGACACAGGACGGCGGGGGAGAAAAAAAAGGTTGGTTTGGCAGCTTTCGCATGCATTATCGGACGGTTTTTTGGCAGCAAGGAACTTAAGTGAGAAAGACAGTGGGCCATTTCCGATCTCTCTCACAGTCGACAATGACGATCGAGATTCAGCAAAATGCAGTCCTGGTCTCATGGGGCAATTGCCAGTGGGCAAGCAGCAAGCAAGCTGCACCTGGCATCCAATTGCTGGAGCTGGAAGTGGGGCATGAGCTGCCATTTGTGCATTCCTACTGGCGAGAGCAGGGGAGCAGCGCTGCTTGCGGTACGTACCTGACCCATCCCAGTAGCGTGCGAAGTGAAGTGGCAAATTCTGTCTAGCCATCAGGAAGTCGCGATTCGGGGGACAGATTTCCATCATTCAGGCCCTGAAAATTCGATTCCAGCTGGTGGAAGGACCCCTGGCACACAGTGTAGCCTCAACGTGCCAGCTTCCTGCTTAGGAAATCCCTACCAGAGGAAGGCGGTCGCTCTGCTGCTTCCTGCCGCTTGCGTCATAATTTGGTCAGAAAGCCGTCATCCCGAAACCGTCCACCTGCTCAAATCAGGCCCTGTGTCATCCAACACCTCGACGCAAAGAGAATCTATTGCGACGCGACGCGATGCGGCTCGACTTCATCCAGCACGATTTTACGAGTGGTGCAGTCGACTACCTCACGATAAGCTTCAATTACGGCTGCCGCTGCGACCGACTCGCGACTCGCCAGTGGTGGAATGCACTCCGAAAACCGCCACCAACCGAGATCCCGGTCCCTCCTTTGGACCTGGGTCTGGGGCTTGGTCTGGGTCTGGGTCTTCCATCGACCGTTCCAGACCATGGGCCGAGATGCAAAATGTCGCTCAAATGTAACCTCTTGTTCCTTTGCCCTTGGGGTTCATTTGGCACGTGGTTTTCTCCACGTATTGAAGAGATACGATCTGATTTAGTTACAGCCAGGTCGAAGACCCAACCTACTGCGACGAAAGGACTGCCATGGGCATCTGCAGATTGTTATCCGAATTGAGGACGGGGTTCACCATGGCGACAATAACAGGGACAAGGGAAAGAACAGAGACGACGACGAAGATGACACCAGCGACACCAACGATAGCGACAGAAATGATCGGTGCTACAACGACAAGCACGTGTACCAGGATTGATGCGAAGCAATTGACACCCCCATGCTTGCTAAGCATACTCGACAACTGGGCATGCTGGTCTCAAGGTTTTCCTCTCTCTTCGAGGCGAAGGCAGGCAGAAGCGTTTGATAAATGTGGCAAGTGACGAAGCGGGTGTTGCACCTCATCATCGGGCCATCCGACGGCTGTGGCTATGCCAGAGTTTCGGCGCGAGACGGCCGTCGACCTGCTGCTCAGGGCACCTCGACACGTCAACAACGCGGGAGACGTTGGCGGGGTCGGCGTCCGGGGGCGGGAGATCGCCGGACAGTGACACTCGAAGGATCGGGTCCGAAAGACCATCTCGTTGCCCGAAACCCATGCCAAGGTGGCGCTTGTCAAAGTGCGCCCATGATCTGGCAGCGTGATCAAACTCACTTTTGAGAAAATGGCGCAACTTCCCGCAACGCAGTGGAGAATTCTGCGTGATCGGCAGGAGCACAGATGCCAGATCGTCGGAAGTTTTCTGCTGGAGGTTTCGAACTGGCACCGATCCTCCAAGATGCTTGGCTGCCAATCCACGGCAAGACATCTCACTCCCCTTGGCCAAAGAAAGAAAACATTGTCGATCTCGTCAACAAAACGGCGTCGGCATTGGTCTTGGGTATCTTGACAACGGGAGGCAATTCGCAACGTGCATGCGGATACCCAGAGTTGACCGCGTACCCGAAAGACCGCTCGAAATCAATGACGATGGCGCGGAACATGCCGTTCGACGAACTCGAGGCGAACGCGGCTCGAAGAGCTCGACGCGTCACTATCGCAGACCAAAAATAGTCGTCCGATCAAACTTCGACTGGTCATGTTCGACGTGAGGGGCAAACGGCAATACCCTCAAAGGCTCAGCCACAGCGATGATGTCAATCTACTTCAATTAGCATTCGGTCCCGAGTATCTGAATATGAGCCGAGCCTTTCGGCGGATGAATCTTACTCGAGATGCCAACATCTTCAGATGATGTATTGCGGCTTCTTCCGCCGTCGCACGGCTTTTTTGCCTCCGCGATGAACGGATGAATCCGGCTGATGCAGCGGGCGGGACGGGATCAACCCCCGGCCGTTGGGCGGAGCTCTCTCGGCATGCCTCTTGTCGGTCCGTTCTCTGGGGAGCTCCTCTTGGCGGGACGGCGCCGGCGCTGCGTCGACGCGTCGATCAGAAGACCGTCTCCAAATCTTGTCTAGGACCCTTTGCCAATCTCTTCGCCACGCATCTTGTGCGATTGGTGAGCTTCTAACGCGCGGCCATGGCTGGTTCTGTCGATCAGGGACTGACTCAAACTGCGGTGAATCATAGTCAACAAAGTGTTTGAACTGGAGGGGAGAAGGAGAATACGGCACAGCTGAACACGAGCTGAGAATCGTCCTAGGTATCGTCAACTTTCTTCTACGAGACCCTTATTTTTCGCCAATCCTCCCGCGGTGCTCCATCCCTTTCGACTGCATTAGACGGCGCTCGGATCGCGACTGCATGGATCGCAAGCTGTGAAGAGATAAGGAAGCACGTCGGAGCTGGCATCGCCTTGCAGTCTGATCTGCATATTCGGACGCAGCCGTTCACAGCTGTGATGATCTTCACCACGACCATATAATTTCGGCGGGACTGCATCGTCTGGTTCCGCGGTCCGAAAAGACGCATGAGTCGCGATGTGCTCGGGATCCTTCGTGCCCCCTACTCATCCCACACCAAACAGCGAGCCAGCGAATAGACATTTCAAGACAGCGACTGGTTGATTGACCGGCTGCTTGCACGCTTGTTTTTCCGTGTGTCACAGTCGCATCTGACGACGATCGGTTGCTGCTGGTCCAACAGTCCCTGAGGGGTTTTCTGGACTGCCTTTCCCCTCGTTGTCTGACTCCGGGCCTTAATACAACTCAAACAAGTTGAGACGGAGGCTTATGTACGAGCACAGATGGACCAGTCGCTGAGCGCCAGCCCAAGTGGCCATGAGGCAGGGGCCCGTGCCACGGCTTGGTCCTATGCTGCCTTCTGGACCGTTTTCCACCCCGGGAACGGTCGGCTGACAAGCGTGACATCTCCAGGCGCTGTGTGGTTTCCGCGGGGACTCTGCTCTGCTGTGCTGTGCTCTGCTGTGCATGTGCAATGTTGTGCTCGCGCACTTTTTTCTGCTCCTCTCATCTGCCCAAGATGCGTTGATGATGAGACGAGGTGGCGCGCTGCTGTCTCACCCAACGATCCTGGCAGCTCGTGGGTATCAAGGCAGCCAACAATTCACACTCGCAAAGGTCCAGGCCTTCGCTGACTGGCTTGCCGCTTTGCTGCAACGATTCCATCCTTCCAATCCCCCACTCCAGTGCGACGCTGTGGTGAGAGACTGAGGACGTGAGGGGGAAGACATGCAGTGGGAGGGCAGGGGGCGTTTTCTGGCGGCCCAGACAGTCGGTAGCGAATCCTTGTGTTGGTGGCACACCGCCGATCTCCCGGTGTCGACGGTTACTGAAGGCTGCGGGTGGAGGGGCTGGCAGTCAGGAGCATCGAGGGACTACCGAGGGCCGGAAATGAATGGCGTCAACCAAGTGTCCCAGTCTGTCCCAATCAAGGCACCAGCACCGTCGGCTATGGGATACTATTGACGGTCCCGAGAGCTCGGTTGCAGAACAGCTGGGAATGCAACAGAAGAAAACCAATTCACTTTTGAGTCACTGGTGTTGCCACGACAAACATCTCAACTCTGGCTGTTGGAAATGCGCGCGGGCGATGGGGGCCCAGAAGAAAGGACGAAGAGCTCAGCTCCAGCCTGCCGCGTGATGAGTCTCGACCGCCCGTTATCGCCAATCAAACGGTCCGCCACCCATTCGTCTGCTGTACACTGCGGCAAGCCGCGCTTCGAGTCTGGCGAGGTGGGCACTTGGATACCCAATGGTTCAGCCTGGGTGCGCCACTGGACGAGCTAAGTCATTCAGCTTGGCTTGATGATGGCTGGCGTCTGGCCATGGTCTCTGCACATTCCCTTGGTCGAGCTACTCTGATACCAGACTAGACCTGGTAGCTCCAACCTTGCGGCGTGCGACCATGTTCAATCAAGTGCGAACCGAAGGGGAGGAAAAGAATAAATCACGAACAGTTGGGCATTAAACTCCCAGTTACGAGTCTGCATGAACTCATCAAACTGCGGGTGGAAAGTGTTTTGTGAGTCTTGCCTCCCTTCACTGCCCCCTGGGATGTGCAGGCTCGGTTGCTTGGCTAGGCTATGCCGCGCCCCCCTTTTTCTTCTTCATCAAGTGACCTTGCCCAGTGCTGCTCCCATTGGGGGCTCTTGGCCGAGTTCACCCCGCAGACCTGGTGCTGACGGAGGAGGGATGATGCTGGACGCTTCCGTCAGTGCGGCTCGCTGGGTGCCACGACATGCTGCGTAGTACCCGGCTCGTCCACTCGGGTACAATTGTTGGTGCGGCTAGCCGAAGCGGTTAACTGTCCTGCGCACTGCGTGAAGCTGCGTGACCTCTGGCTTGGCGGGGAGACACACCAGCCCTACATGTGCTGTGCAGTAACCTTCTTCTGCTGGCAAATGAGTGCGCGGTCATGGACGTGTGGCTAGCAATCCGAACGAGCTCATCATAGCCACTAAGCAAGTCGACAACAACACTCAGCAGGTTGGCTGACGCTAGCACCGCGCAAGCACGGGGAAGCCACCACCTCCTCTTTCGGCCTCGCCTCCGTCTCCAGGCTGCTAGACTTTGCACCTGGAATGCTTCCTGGGACGAACTGGGGTCTTCGTTGGTCTCACTCCCATGCGCGTGGCGTTCGTCTATCTGAGGTACGTCCCGAGGGAGGGGAGCCTGGGCATAGCCAGGGGACGTGGAGGCAAGTAGTGGGAACGCCTTTTTTGCTTGAATGTAGATATATGGCCCTCCCCCCCTCATCCCTCAACGTTCGCACCAGTTTCCCAACTCAGAGAGATCTGTATCATTGAACAAGCACCCCTTTCCGGCAACTCGAGTACAATTACCACAGTCGTGCTCGCTCTTCACCGGACATCCTCCACCAGTTCCCGTCGTCTCAAGGAACCCAACCATCGAAACACCCAACCACTTATATACCAGCACACAACAGCAGCAACCATGCTGTGCATTTTGCCAGACGAGCTCCTGCTCATCACAGGCGCAACCGGCCACATTGGCTTCTGCGTCCTCCTCCACGCTCTGCGTGCAGGCCACACCGTCCGCTGCGCCGTCCGCTCAGAGGCCAAGGCCGCCTTCATCCGCTCCCGCCCTCAAATCCTCGCCCTCAACCTCCCCCGCGCCCGCCTCAACTTCACAATCGTCCCCGACATCACGGCAGATGGCGCCTACGACGAGGCCATCCGCGGCGTCTCCTATGTTATCCACTCCGCCTCGCCTCTAGCGACAGCTGACTCCGTCCCCCCGGAGCAGCACCAGGAGTACTTCATCCAGCCCGCCATGCGCGGCACCCTCGGCATGCTGGAGGCCGCGAGGCGAGCGGGGACCGTCCGTCGCGTCGTCATCACCAGCTCCATCGTCGCCCTGACCTCAGTAGCGCAGATGGAGGGCGCCGAGAAGAGAGTGACGGCCGTTCAGCCCACAGAGCGCGCAGGCTTCAAGCCCGAGCCGTACGAGAGCGAGTTCGCCGCCTACGCAGCGAGCAAGGTCGCCGCGCTGCTCGGCGCCGAGGCGTGGCTCGCGCGGGAGAAGCCCAACTTCGACGTCGTGCACTTCCACCCATCCTTCGTCCTCGGCCGCAACGACGTCGCAACGAACACCTCAGAGGCGATCAAGGGCACCAACGCCGTCGTCCTCGCCACGCTCCTCGGCAAGAAGTGGGGCTGCGCCTTCGCCGGCGCGACCGTCCACGTCGACGACGTCGCCCGCGCACACGTCCAGGCCCTACTGCCCACCATCCCCGGCAACAGGAGCTACATCCTCAGCACCAAGGCGCGGTGGAACGACGCCAAGCTCATCGCGAAGCGCAGCTTCCCCGAGGCGGTGCAGCGCAAGCTCATCAGCAGCAGCGGCTCCGTTGGCACCACGCCCATCGAGTTCGACGCGTCCGCCACCGAGGAGATCTTCGGCTTCAAGCTGCAGGGCTTCGAGGAGCAGATCAGGAGCGTGGTGGGGCACTTCCTGGAGCTGCGGTTCCGCCGCCCGGTGGTCGCGACGGTATCCGGCGAGCTGAAGGAGAAGGCATCGACTGGTGCATTGAGGTCGGGCATTGTTGCCGCCAACGCATAGGGATTCTGACGGCCGACGCACCACACACATTATTATGATTATGAGGGGAGCATTTCTTGCTTATTGCTACACGGTTACATGGGACGGATTCAGGATTTCGGCGCGCTTAAAAATTACCAATGCAGAAGACAGACCTGCAAAGAATGGGCATGAACAATTTTGGGAGGAGCATTGGAAACCTTGGATACCCAGCGGTAAACTCCGCAACACCTTTTTTCTAAATTCTTGTACATAGTTTTAGGCATCAATGCCTGCAACAAAAGAGAGTGTAAAAAAATCAAAATCAGAGTACAGATTACACTTTTTCATCTGCTTGGTCTGAGTGCATGCGTTCCTCGTCCGCCTCATCCGCCTCACGATAGATACTTCTTTTCTGGAAATTTAGCGCACTTACATACACGCCCTACGAATCTAACCCAAGTGCGTGTCAGCCCCGAGATTAAGCAGAGCGACGGACCCTCCTCCGCATTCCTGCAATCCAATCCTCCTGTCCTCCAGCCCAGGCCACGGGTGTTGGTTGGCTAGGCTGGTTGGTGCTGGCTGGCTGGCACCACGGTCGAAATCGTCCGAGTGGCGATACTTGCTTCATCAGCTGAAAAGGAAGGACCGCAGCGCAACACAGTACACAGGGTCGGCTAATAGTACAAGCAAGCTAGACCTCCCTCCCTGCGTTCAGCCTCAATCTCCGAGGTTCGTTGCCGGGTTTTTGGGGGAGATGGGCAGGAGCAGGCATGAGCAGGCATATGCACGTGGGACGCTGGGAAGGCAGGGCGACGGCAGCGGCACGTTTTGGCTACGGTACCCCGGTCTGTGGTTTGGTAGTTGCTGGTCTCAAGCAGGCAAGACCCTTTGAGAGTTTCTGACCGGATTCGGAACATGTTCGGGCCAGGACGCGGCCTCGTTTGCCCGAAGTATTTTGAGAGTGATGCAGAAGGGACGAGGAGGAGGGGGTGTCCCTGATCTTTTGGGCCGCGAATGTTTTACTGGAGAAACGAGATCTCAAATTTGGCTGGAACGGCTTTTCCGGCGTTGTCTTGGCGGCAGCGCGGCTGAAGCCTGGGACGGATGGGGATGGGCAGCTGAGAAGCGGGCATGAAACGGTTCGTCTTCTTCTGGAAGCGGAGGAACTGCGCAGAGCAAGGGATAACCCAACTGGGACCAAGCAACCCGAATGGGTGCATATTCTATTGGAGAGTCAGACCGGCATTTCTCGCGTCCCGCGTGGGAGGGATATGCAGCGCGATGCGCGAACTCGGCCGATGGCTGAAGAACTGCATCGCTGCACCGGGGTAACGATGTCTCCCAGCCAGAACATGGTGGTCGACGGGAGGCCAGATTGGAAGCAAACGGTCCAGGCTGTTTTCTCGCTCCTCTGCCAATCAAAAACTGCCATGGACGATAGACTGATCCGGCCCAGACGGGGCCAGACTGGGCTGACCACGCAGCGAAAGACCACAGACCGTCCCGACCCTTTGGTTTACCTCGCATGAGCGCTGACGGTGCTCAGATTTGCGCGCCCTGCGTGACATAAGCGTGGAAGACGCGCCGCGCTCCAGAACACGTCCATGGGCCAGGCTAGGCTTATCTCTCGGCCAAAAGGGGTCCAGGGAGATCCTCCTCCACGTTTTTCTCTTGCTTGGACGTTGGGCTGAAAGGGGGCAACTCTGCACGGATTGAGGGAACGCCTTGATGACGGGAGATTTTAAGCGAGGGGGAGGGCTGAAGGAGGAGAGGAATCTGAGCGTACGGCAGTTGGGGTCGAGATCTTTTGGGTACCTTATCCGATGAACCCACGGGTCGTTCAAGATGCTTACGAGAGACGAGGGGGATTGCTTATGTCTCCCACGATAGCAGGGTGAGATGGGGTTTGATCAGCAGAGTTGAATAGGCAGCCGCGAAAGGGGAGAGATCCTTGGCGCATCCTTCGACCCACAACCGAATCATTGTGTCGTCGGAGGTGGTGCCCGTTGCCCAACGGCTCTCCGCCTCTTACGGCTTCGTGGGAGCCCCAAGAAACGGTTCCTGACATTACTCAACGACTCACAATACATCTCTCAAAGAGGCAAGAAAGGGGCGACGCCTCTCAAGCCACGCGCCCTCGATATCAAACTCTCGTCAGCACCAAGCGCTCCTCTCCTCACAAACGCCAGCGCTTGCCTGGAAATGGCATCGTCCGACCGCCAAGAACGACTCATGTCTCCTCCTCCGCGCCGTTGCTCGGCTTCTTCCGGAGAGGTACCTCAGCCCAAAGGCGACTTGGACATCCTCATCGACAGAGACAACCGCGAAGATTGGCACGGCATCGTCCTGCGCGCCCGGAAGCACATGCGCTGCGTCCCCCACCATCCGGACAGATACGCCCAGGTCGAATATGACCCATCCTGCCCGGAGGGCGTGAACCTACCCACCGGCGACAGCAACACCACGGGGCATACAGAGAAGGGGCCTCCTCCGTCGGCGGACGGAGAGGTGGACACGCTACCACCGCCGCCCACATTCCACCTCTTCCCCCACCTCCCCAAGGAGCTGCGCGACAAGATCCTGCTCGCGAGCGTGCCCCCCGTGAGAATCGAGGCGTTCGTCAGGGTGGACTTTGAATGGAACCACGGGCCGCAGGCGCGCTTCTCTCAAAACACGATCAGGGCCTGGCGCGACCTGGTGCTGTACGCCGTCAGCGCGGAGACGCGGCGGCTGGCGTGCGCTGCGTACGGGGTGCCTGACCCGCTGGGGTTCCCGTTCAGCCCGGCGAGGGACGCGGTGTGGTTGCTCTGGGACGGGGGCACGATGTGGGCTGCGCACAGGTTCTTGAAGGACTGTAGGGAGGCCGGGGCGGTGGTGCAGCGCGAGTCTCGGGAGTGGGTTATGCCGGAGGGGTTGAGGGCCAGGGTCGCGGAGGTTGTGGTGGAGCTGATGTATGGGTTCTTTGACAGTGGGAGGAAGGGCCCGTGGAGATATGTGTTTGGGCTTTTGAAGGAGTTTCCGGGGATGAGGGTGCTGAAGGTTGAGATGTGTGATCTGGATGATGGGGGGTTTGAGGGGGTGTATGATGGGGAGAAGGAGGAGGTGTATCGGGTTGATCAGCTGGATTTGTTTGATGAGTTGGAGGGGATGAGTGAGGATGGGGTGGCGCCGTTCCCTGGGTTGAGGTTGTTGACGGCGAGAGCTGTTTTACCAACGGTGAAGCAAAGTCAGGGACGGTTGAGATTTCGAAAGGTGAATGGGAGTCATTTCGTGGTAGTCAGGAAAGACGAAGTGCCATCCGCCGGCGTTTGAGTCCCTCTCCTGAGTCCGGGTCTTCCTGTTGTTCTTTATTAAACAAGGGTGATTATTCTCTTCTCTATCTGATTAGACAAGAGCATCGTATTTGCGAGTGACACGTCCCGTTCTTCATCTATGCGAAGGATGCCAGCTCTTCTAAACTTTCCACCCTCTTCCTGAGCGCCTTCAACCACAATGCAGTCGATGAAATATGGCTCTGGGGATCCTTCGCAGGCTGCCTCCCGTTTGCGAAAGACAAGTTGGATGATCCCGCTTCTGGGTAGCTTCTCGTCATCCGTCGTGTCTGGCAACCAACGCGCATTCATCTTTTGTGGAGAGCATCCGTTTTCTAAATGAACAATCAAATGTTCAGTTTCACTCCTTTGAGCGTACCGAGCGGTTCCAAAAGGACCATGAAGCGTGAGGACACCATCGACCACGTTGAGAGTCGGGTCGACACCTTTGGTGATCACGCCCACGTCCTCGACTTGAACAAAGAAGTCTATGGCTTTCTTCGCATTCGGGCCCCGGATATACACGGGTCCATCAATGGATGTCCAGGACCACGATGGGGCGCGATATTTCGTCGACAATCTTTGTCCAGGTTCTGTTGCGGTCCAGCACAGTTGATGAAGCAACTCCTCTTCCCACATACCGGCCAAGTACCGATATCCAGTGGCCTCTTGGAATAGGTTTGCGACCCCGGAAAATGCGTTGAGGCGGTCCTCGGGTCGCGTGAAATGACATTCGGAGTACTGCATGACCAGGTGCGTCCACTCCCGCAAGGTTCTCTCTGTCTTCTGACTCTGATCCACAGAGGGTTCGTGGCCTGGCACTCCATCAACAAATCCTTCGCATTTGTGAGTTTGCCCGCACTCCCACATGATCTGATCTTGGGTGAAATACAGCAACCGTGGCGCAAGGAAGCACTCTTGGAAGACCCAGCCCCGATGGTGAAGCGTACCGCGGTAAAGCCGGCTGTACCAGTAGTTGGAAGTAAAGATCAAATTACTTTCCAGAGTTCCGGTCGTTAAGGTAGATTCAACGATGCCTGGGCGGATTGTATCGGTGTCTCGCTCTCGGAAAAGACCGCCGTCAGGGTCGTTGGAAGCAGTGGCCGCAACGTTGCAAAATGCGTTTGCGTAGATATTTCGCATGCTCGAAGCCTCGGCATCCCAATCGGCGACGGAATCTTGGATGATACACAAACAGTCGATCCAAACATACCGTATACCAACGTGGCGAGCTACAACGAAGAGATCGCGAAACGTTAAAGGTAGGAGTGCGACAGGTTTTCCAGCCCGGAAAGAGGGTAGGTTTGATGAAGAGAGAAGGGTGGTTTGGCGTGAACCCCACCGGTAACTCAGAGTAATGTACGAAATGGGCACACCGGGCCCTACATCATCTTTGGTAACGATGACTTTCCATTTCTGGTCATCTTCGAGGCCAATATCGACCAGCCGCGTAGGTATCCAGTTTGACGTTGGCAACGAAAACCCAGCACAGTTCTCGTGAGTGACCGAGCACTGGCGAAGCCAATTGAGTGCCGTGTCAAGAGACGTTTTAGATGACGTGGATTTCTTAACTGGAGGAAAGGGGATCAAACAGGTCGGGTGATCTATATGGTCTCTGATTTAGCCACTGAAACAACACACACCCAGCCAGGAGTATACTTGAGAACGACGACGAGGGATACCTTTCGCAGGGAACAGATTGAAGAATCTGTACAGGCTGATGAACTGATTTTCGACGTAGACGTACAGCACCGTATACGCCTTTCCACCTGCGACATGGCGTCGCGGGGCAAACGACAATGGGGTCCATGAGTTCTCATCAAGGGTTCTCCAGTAGGCTGTCTCGTCCTCGAGTGCTCTGCGCATGGTTGAGCACAACAAGCAGCCATTTGAAGCTGCCTTTTGGAATGTCTGCAGGCTGTGCGGTTGAATGTGTACCGCATCTGATGCAATCGATACTGTTTGGAGAATTTGACTGCAAGCATAGCATGTTTTGCTGAGACTTGGCTCGGATTCAGACGCCATACTGAAGAAATTGGAAGTGAAAGGTTATCTTGACAAATGTATGCCATCATAAGGAAGCTTGTGAGGCTGACAAGGGAGGCCATTTAGTGTGCCAACATCGCTAAGCGTCATGTGATTCCAAGACATCTGCATTTTGGCAGTAATGATAGGCACACAAATTTGTCCCATGCAGCGTTTACGATTCTTTCTGTTCCTTCATAACAAATTCTGGCCTGTCATTGTCCACAGTCAAGTTCGGAATCCAGGCACATTCACCGCTCCCTACATCCATGTAGTCTCTATCTTTAATGTAGTCTTTGTAAACTATGACTAGTATCTAGAGAATTTGCTCCGGGTTTGTTGGCGTGCTACTCGATTTCAACCTGTCGCGGATTCAGTACCATCCTGGCATTGATTTGGGCATCATGATAATCCCTCAATATTGAACATCACGGCTGAATCTCCAGAGCTATCGCCTCTGTCGCACACAATGAAAGTCAAGTCCTGTTTTCCCAACCCCAGCGCAACATCGAAGCTGAAAACTCCAGATGTTATCTTGTAAGACAATCCAAGCTGCTCTCCTGGCACGCCAGGCTTCATTCGCGGATCGCGCTTGGCGACCACCACGCTCTCCGGCACCGGATTGTTACCTGCTGTAAGTAGCTGTGCCGCATCAAGCTGGAAGCGACGACCGCTTTGGCTTGTTTTAGCATGCCATACCTCGGCTTTGGCGTACAAGGTATCTACTTACTCTTCTGCAAAGAGATAGTTCACTCGAAGAGCCCGAACTCCAGACTGAGCCGTGATGTTCATGCGGAGAATGGAATATTCGCACGATGGTGCAACAGGACAAAGCACCATCCGGTCTTGGCCGTAGCTCCAGGAGCCATCGAGAGTGACACCGGGGGCCGCTGATGCCGCCTGTCCGGTTGTGAGAATGACACCCGTCTCCAAACCCGCAGGCCCATTGGTAAATGTGCCTACAGCTGACCAGACTTCCACGGGGTCAGCGGCTCGACGTTTCGTGGGAGCAATAAGCAAAGCGTCGACTGGTGTCAGTCTGCCGTCCTTCACAGCGGCAGCGGTTAATGCGTTCTTGATGGCGTTATAGTCCGTTCCCCCGGGTGTGACGACGATGCCAACGACTATTGATGCCAAGCCAAGAAGGTGAATCAGAACTAGCTTCATGATGACAAAAGGGTGAATAAAGTTACAAAGGCGAAAAAAACGTGTATGCATTTAGTCAGAGAAGCGGAAAGCACCTGGTGAAGAAGGCATGATGCTGGCTTATAAACAATCTCGTTGGCGATCAATGTTTTGAGCTGAACTCTGGCAGCTGCAGGTTTTCTTGGCAGATGGTCAGGAATGGCCTCGTATTTTCAGCTGCTGATCAGTCCGCCAGTCAAAAGACTCTACAAGCGCGAAGGTGCATTGGAGCGCTTAGGGAACCCATACAACATACTTGGATACTTGGAGGCGCACCGCGATGCACATCGTCCCATTTTTCTCAGCCTACTTGGGCTCAAGATCGGCGTCTCCCTTAACATAATCATTCCATTCCGGAGGGGCAGAGCTTCCAGTACATAATGAGGTCAAGAAAAGCCGGGAGGCAAGCCTGCACCTTTTTGGGCGTCCATCCTTTGGCTTGAAGAGCTGGAACAACAGCAGGTATGAGCAGCGCGGGAAAGATGAATAATTAGCAACGTGATTTCATCAACTGATTTTGCTGATTTGGTCGCTGTAAATTACTGAATCCAAGAAGAAAACGGTGCCATTGTGCGATCCTTGCAGCCACTAATCAAGCTAACGTTTCAGCCACAACTTGGCCTTGGATAGAGAGTTGAGACCAATCGCCCCTGGCATGACTTGCTCTTCCATTACTCCCCGACAGGCGGATTGATGTCACCGTAATACGTAAATTGAACCAACGGCGACGGTGACAAAGCTCAGTATCGCAGTCAAACAGGCCTGCGTAACTACCAGATTCAAGTTGATCACGCACCCCTTGGCATCCGAAGCAGCCTCATGCTCGCGATCATCCTATCATTAGTCAAAATCAACCACTGTTACTGCATCTGAAGGGTTTGTGTCAGGATCGAAATGGGAAAGAATTAAGACAGCATCGAATGATCGAAAAGGTCTAGAGATACGTATAATTATTTCCCTAGAAATGTTGGCGATATCTCCAAGACCAATGCTTCCTCGCCCCATCAAGCAACGACTCCATGTCCATCATATACTCCTCCATTCCGGTTCCTGAACCAGCTACAAGACCGGCCTTAACACTTTGATAGGCCCATGAGCGTGCTTAGTACTCGTACCCCGCGCCATTCCACTCGCGCGCCGCGATAGCGTATGCCTTACAAAGGTAAGAGTCCAACCCCTCCTGCTTGTATAGGTTGACTAGCAGGTTAGCCATTGCTGTGGGCTCGGCCGGGGCGATTTCGCGAGTTTCTAGGTACCCTTGTAGTAGGTGAATTTCGTTGATGCGGTCGTCTGATAGCTCTGCGAACTTGGGAGCGGCTTGGCAGTGGCTGCAAGCGCATTCGAAGCCAAGAGTCTCTTTTGCGTAGCGTTGTCGCTCGCGGAGGGTCTGGATAGGATCGAAGTAGGATATGGTGATCTCCTCGCCAACGGCAATGTCGCGGACTGCCCACAGCCTGTGTGCAAGCAAGGCCCAATCCCATTGCGACGCTGCGTTGGAGCGACAGCTGTGGTTGATTTTCTGCCATGCTGTTAGTTTATTAAGATTTTGTGCGATGCGTCTTGAGAACTCACAGATATGTTTGCATGCACCGCAATCATGCCGAGGTCCAATTCGTCTTCCAAACCCGGCCAGTCCTCTGCGGGTCCGCTAGAGACGCCGTAGCCATTCGTCCAGATCTTTTGCTCTAAACCCTTAGTAAAAGTGCCAATGTAAAGCTCTTCAACCGTTTGGCGTGTGGTTCTTGGTAGCTTCTCAATAGCCAACGCCTGGAGTGACGTCCGCGCTTCTTCGGACGAGATGTCTTCGACCCAGTTGCGGTCCAGAAAAGTGATTGGGGCCTCGTTGGTGATGAGGCTGCCTGCGGGTATCTGTCTGGTTGCAAATATACCCCGCCCTTTGCTTCCACTTGGCGACGTTCTGAATGACGGCTCACGCGAGAGGCTGGGATGGTGATCTGGCACCGAGGCGATAGATTTGGCGATGTGGAGGATGCGCTCGGGAGTTGTTATCACGGTGATTCCCTTTCCGTTATCGAATTGCGGGTTTGCGAAGATGCAGTATTGCTTTGAGTGGCTGTCTGACCAGATGCATGTGGACCCTTGGTTAGACAAGGTGGTGTTCTGGGGCGTGGAAAGATATATCTCGGGTCGTCTGTGAGTGAGAGGGCATAGCGCAGTGTCGTTGACATTGAGGACGAGTCTGTGAGCACTGCGACCACTTATAGGCGTGTAAAGGGTAGACAGATCAAAACAGAACGCTAGTCTAGTGTAGATCAACGCGTTGAGGGCTTTCGTTGGATGCATTTTTGGGGGAGATCAAGAGTGAAGGCTGAAGAAGATGGTAGGGGCACGATGGTAATGCCTTGCTAGCCTGTGGGGAAGTTGGGAAAGCGCGAGTTCTAGTCTTGATTTGAGGAAGGGGAGTAGATATCCCCTCAAAAGTTCGAGATGTTTACGCCCTGTTGAATGCTCTCTGCGGGGGTTTAGTAAACATACTTTGCGGAACTCTTTTCGACTATCGCATATCCGGACCAAACCCTGCTTCATGCCATCAACAGCTGACTTTTAGTTGAACCTTTCACCTTGCCTCTCGGTTTGTAATTTCCTAATTCAACGTCATGAAAATCCGTTAGGAATAGCATCGTGGGAAGGCTGTTTTCAGGTAGCAACTGTTTATTTAAGCAAAGAGCATCACAGCATCTTCAAGGGAACTTAATCAATAACTCAAGCCAGCATCGGTGATCTTGACTTACTTGCTACACTCGAAATGTGTACACTCATTCTTCTGTTGCTCCCCACGGCAGCTCTTGCGCAGAACGCCGGCATGTGCAGCGATTGCTCGCCGCCCAGGGGCCACAACGGGCAGCCGATCATGGCCGTCGGCGGAGTGATGGGCGGTGGGGCGTTTGGAGTGCCCATGGCTCCTCCGATGCTGAATCCGCCGCCACCCTTCATGATGGGCATGTTCAGAGGCAGGGGGGGCCGCGGGGGTGGGCGCGGCGGAGGAGGAGGCGGAGGCGGGCGTGGTGGGGGAGGAGATCCGATCATGGAATCGGTTCCGAACCGAAGCCAGCCTTCACGCACGCGTCCGAACCGTAAGAATGGGAGGCGGGATGTCGAGGAAGAAGAATTTGCGTAAGCCTTTGGGTTTCACGATCTTTCTGTGGGAATGTGTGCTAACTGGACATTCTTTAGAGGGATCCAGCGCCCTCGGGTTCTCGAGAAGAACGCGATGGAGTGGGATGGTTGATGTCTGGCACTGAAAGTGGGTGTCTCCTAGGATCGGCAGTCATCCGTGAATGAACGGAGAAACACCCGAGGGAGCAGAATGGAGGGCTGAGAAATCCTGGAAGGCATAAATTTGTCGGCTTTTAGGACTAGATGCTGTCATTACTCATGGACACTCGTTTTCAATTTGAACATGTCTGAGAAAATTTCCAAGTTCTTTGTTTTGCGTGTGGGTCTCATATCATGAAGCTTTTCAGGCACGTAGGTGTTTTTCACATTCTTTGCATTCATTTGCCCTCTATCATAGTCAAATTGGAAGTTGGGCTCTCATGTCACATCTTGAAGCAGGAACTGATGTTGCACATTGCAATTTACACTACGCACTATTGAGCTACCATACAAATGATATCCAGCTTCTGTACTCCCCTCAAGTCATGGAAATCGTGAGTGGTACAACGAAGTGTCACCCATCTTTGAGAGCATCTGATTGGACGCAGCCCCAGCGCATCTCTTGTAGCGTGGTATACTAGTAGTAGTGGGATGATATCGTATCTGCGGCGATAGCATTCGTTCCATTAACTTTATCAGGCGTAGTTCAGTCTCATCATTAATCCACGATGATGAACGTTCTGAGAAGGGAGGACTGAAATGATGGCACCAGTTAGAACCCAGCTGGCTTAACTCCTAAGCCTCTGCTCGTTCGCTTCGTGAAGTAGCTAGGTTCATCCACATTTCATGCGACGGAGTTGGCTACTTTTCGTTCTGGATTCTCGGGGACATTTTCTGCTCGTGAGAGGCTAGTGTGGCGTGATCTCAGTCATTGCGATTAATACCAGTCAACAAAACAACCCGAGAGGTCAGCCAATGCTAGACTAGCTCAAAGATTTTCCCGCAGTCCTGTGCCACCATCGACTACGCATTTGCCCGACTGAGAGACACAGGCTCAAAATCCTCGCTCCGGATACTCTCTATAGCTAATGTTCAACCACTAGCGTAATGGAAATATCCGGACCATCCCCCTCTCCCGCTACCAAAAAGGTTACTGAAGCGGATCTTGTTGAACTTAGCGAGTATGACAAGCTTACGAAGCTGCGACTTCGAAGGAAAGCGTCTTAGAGCCTTCTTTATGCTTTTCGCATGTTGCGATCATACTGGGCAGTAATCGCTAGTGGAAACTTCATCTCTACGCTACTCTTCCTAAGCAGGCGTCCATTGGTCGCACAGGAGTGAATTATGAAGTTGTAAATGCCTACAACAACCTTAAAATCGACTCGGAAACCCAGGCTCGGGACTATCTTCCCTGAAACAGCAATCGTTGCTGAACGTCACTTGGGGAAGGTTTCTCTAGAACATCCGACTTTTCTCCAACTTGGCTCTAGACTCACTTAATGCATATCCGGGATTGAACTTTGTCGTCCTAGTTGACGTCTGGACCAGCGACGGATAAAGATCCAAGGTGAAGACACACTTACAGGAGAGAACAGCGTCAGAACCAGATCGACATGGACCCGTCTATAATCAGGGGAACTACGTGGCTCGTAGCTGACGGAAAGGCGAGCATGAATAATGTCTACAGGTACTTCTTGGTCCCCTTCTTTTTCATGGGGCAATTCGACCCCGGTACAACTCTCTCCAGCGTCCTATCCATAGCCAAACCACCAGTAGTACCCCAAACAGCCTTGACTCAAGATTTTCTCATATGTCATTAAAATCTTTTACGTCGCTAATATTAATTCTACGGGGTTTCAGAAAGACGAAAGCCCAGTCGAAAGCCCAGTCTTGCTCTGCCCTTTTCCAGAACACCCCGATCTTCACCTTAGGCAGCAGGTTTCCTTCCAACCATGAGGTACATCGGCGTAAACAACTTCTTCTTGCCACCCTCTACGAGTGCATCAGCCGCTTTGCCCAGACTCTCCGCCGTCTTTCTAGTGCCGGCCGGAATGACGCGGACAGTCTCGAGGACCCTGAAGAAGTTGTGCGCGACCACTCGACCCCACTTGTTCATCCTCAGGACCGTCAGCGCATCCCACAGTGTTTGGGCGTAACGCAGGTCGCTGTCGAGGGGCCAGTACCACGGCGCCGGGCCGTCATCGTCCGCTGCAAGGTCGTGGTGCAGTTCGAGGTCGAACCCAGCTGCCTTGATCGCGGCGAGGCCGTCGGAGATCTTGAACATCTGCGCAATACCGTCGCCCTCTTCGATGTACAGACGGATGCGACGATGCTCGAGGTCGTCGTTGTTGAACTCCTCCGTCATGAGCCACTCGTACACACCGAACACGCCGCCGGGCTTCAGGACGCGGAAGATCTCCTTGTACACGCCCTCTAATGACGGTGCGTGGACCGTGGCTTCGATAGCGTATACGGCGTCGAAAGAGTTATCAGGGAAGGGGATGTTCTATACGCGAAGTTCCTTCATTAGTATCGCTGAACCACTGAGGAGGAGGATGATGAAACCACCTGGGCCATCTCGGTCCAAGCTGCTACATACCATAAAGTCGCCTTGAACAAAGTCAAGCTTGTGAGACAGGCCCTCCTTGGCAGCATAGTTTGTTGCCCGCTGTACTTGGTACTGGTTGATGTTCAGACCTGTCACATGGCAGCCGGTGAACTTGACCATCTCGCGGGCCGGCCCGCCAACGCCACAGCCCACATCAAGAACCTTCATGCCACCCTTCAGTCCCATGTTGTGCGCAAGGTAGTGCTCATGGCGGGCGATGGCGCGAGAGAACGCCTCGCCGTAAGCGAACCGGCAGAAGTGGAATGAGGCACCCCAGGCGTACTCATAGAGGTCTGTTGCAAGGTTGTAATATCTGAACAAGGAAATTAGTTGGCAGTTCACGAGAGAGCTTGAGAGCTAGTGGCTGTAGGTGAGCCTTACTGTCTGGTGAGACTCGCGTAGTCTGCTGTGCGAGCCTGCCTGATCTCGTCCGTCTCGTCTTCGGCGTTCTTGCCATCCCAGTGTTGGAAGTACTCGTCGACAGCTGCAGCATGCGCGGCGTTGTCCTTGCCCATCATGGACCGGATGCCACCTTGGGTCTTGCCGGAGCCTCCATGCAGGGCATGATCGAAGGCATTCTTCTTAACCTGCTCGGCCGAGATCAGCTCTCTACTTGTCGTCATGGTGTTGTCTGAGGTCTGATACTGAGAGATGAGATGAGGAAGAAGTTCGTGGAATAGCTTGGTCGTAAGAGAAAGGCGAGCTCCAGTAGTTAAAGCAAAGACGAACCCCTTTGTCTTCCAATCTCGAAAAAGTTCATCCATCACATTTCAGGGACCCCATTTGTACCTGCATGACCGAATAATCTAACGATTGAGATGCTTGATTGGTTGGAGAATGCTCTGGACTGTTTGTGGTCGTACAGACAGGTTCGGAACACGAATACGAAAGACTGCCAGGAAGCGTGGTACGTATCTCTGCCGCAGGGGACTTTGGGACGTGCTCCCAAGGCCCCCTGTCACCACCTTATCCAGTCGTAATCGTATTCGCCTGCCCCATATTAATCATCCATCGAGTCGAACCAACAACACCAGACGCTAGAACTATCCGAGAAGATAAACGGAAAAGGATCTAGAACTGACAAACTGCCAAGCTGAGAGGAATTCAGTGGATGCCATATGCAGGTAAGACTGACAATCCAGGGATGTTCCGACGCAAGCTCCTCCATCTAGTCTTCCTGCTTCCCACCGGACCTCCACCCGGATGGAACGGCCAAGTCTGACATCTGCGGCCGACCCGTACCACTGATGCGTTAGGCTTAAGAAAGCCAGGAAGCCTTATTTCACGGCACATATGGGTACGGCTCAAACAAAGAATTCGATAACATGTGGAAAAAGTTCAAGAACTCTCCTAAGCCGCCCGCCCGGATGCCGTCGGGTGACGTTATTCCCTTGCATCATTTTGATGACAACTCAATCTTGCGGAGAATCGTGGTCAACTTCATGTTAAAGTTTGACGATGTTCTTGATCCTGGGAAACTACGCCAAGCCTTGGAAAGACTTGTGACCAGAGAAGATGGCTGGCGCAAACTTACAGGGCGCCTGAGACTGAACGTAAGAACACTTTTCAGTTTCAGTAATTTCCGTTTATGCCTAAAGAGCTACGTTTAGACTTGCTAACGTGTTTTGTGACCAGAAAAAGAAAAAAAGGGAAACTTGAGTACCATGTGCCCAAACAATGTAGTGCCGCGATACCAGCTTTTGTTTTCTCCCATATTATCTACAACGTGCCCACAACTGAACACCCGATCACATGCCACTCACCCAAGTCAACGACGCCCCCCTCGGTCGTGGCGGATCCAAATGCATTGCACCCGTTGACGCGTCCCGCTGATGGCCCGAAGGAGCTTACCGACTATCTTTACACAGACTTGCCTCAAGTGGGCCTTACTTTGTCTCATTCCACGATGCAACGCTCGTCTCTATTACACGGCCTCACACCCTAACCGATGGTTCGGGCCAGAAGGAGATCTTTCAAGCTTGATTCTTGGCACTCCAGGGTAGGAATGATGAGATCCGGTTGTTAGGAGGGGTTGAAAATGATCCATTGGGGAAGTTTGGTGTTCAACCTCAGGATTTGCACAAGCGCGCGCAACGTCTATTCAGGTCGTCCCTTGCCTTTCCAAATAGGCTGGAGAGTTATATGTCTTCCAGCTTACTCCAACTACCGTCTACAGCTGTGGTCAGGCTCGCCTGACCTGGTCAACAACAAATGGACGACACAGGGTGCATATGCCGGTGTTATCGGCGACCCTGAATGGGCTTTCATCGGTCCTGAAAAGGTCCCCGGGCTCATTACGCATTACTTGAAGCTCGATACCTTCAATAGATCATGACTCCGAGACTGTGTCCCTGATATCGTCAAAGAGAACTCGACATCGGAAAAGCTCACGCCATGGTACCCGGTCTGGTGTAAGAGGCCCACTTTCAGCGACACCTACCTCCAGACGTTCAACATGCCCCACGTCCATCTCGTGGATATGTACGGAGGGCCATGCAGTCGAGAGAGCAACCCCAAATGGCCTGGTAGTCCAAGGAGTTGAGTACAAACTCGATATCCTTGTGCTCGCAACAGGATATGGATCGCCGTCGACGGCTGTAGATCCCGCTGCCCGGGCCGGAGTTGAGGTCTACGGACGTACGGGGCTGCCGATGGCGGAGAAGTGGGAAACTCAAGGTCTTGCTAGGTACTCTTCACGGCGTAGCATCGAACGGATTTCCTGACTTAGTCTGGATCGGTGTATCGCAAGGTCCGTCCGCCGCAAACCTGGGCCATGTCATAGACGCCCAGAGCCAACACATTGCCCACATCATTGCGAAAGCGCACGACAGAGCGGATAGTGTTGCTTCCGATCCCAGTACGTTCCGCACCTGCGTTGTCGAAGCTGACACTGATGCCGAAGACGCCTGGAGCCTGCGGGTCATGCAAGGTGCAACTCGTCTCGCGGTGACTTACGTCTGCACGCCAGGATACTTGAATAATGAAGGTCAAGGGCTAAGGATGGCACTAGGCTTGGAGAAAGCGCCTAATCCCGGCGATATGGCGAAGGCGGCTCGATACGCTCCATGGAGCGCGGGAATGCCATCCTATCTGCAAGAAATTGAGGCTTTTCAGAATGAAGGTGAGCTGGGTGGATTCAAAGTCGCAGCCAGATAAAGACGTTGCCGGGTCGTAGGACTCTGCATTTTTGAAGTTGCGACAGCACATATAGTTCTGAATCAGAAACCTATTTCATCTGCCGCCATCGCAGGTTATTGATGTCGGACATTCAGAACATCGCCTTTTTGTTGATCCCCAGGCGAGTTTTACAAATCCACAGAATGTGTTACATTTCGAGGCCAGATTTAGAGAGGCTTCTAACTTTACTAAGTGGTATGCTGCTCACGCCTTTTCGTAAAGTGCCAACGCTCTCAAAACCTCATGTCAGACGCTAAAAAGGTGGCCTACTTAGAACCCATGTCACATTTTGACGCCATGTCAGCGTCAAGCATTTCAACTCGCGCCCTTGTGATCCGACCAAACCAATTAAAGAGAAGTTATAGCTGCCTGTATCTTCTTACCTTGTTTCATGTTATCATGTCTACCAACAATCTGACTCAGAGCTAGGATGCAAAAGGATGGTTTGCTTGTCATTTGAACAGGGCATCAATACCCCGCGCCTTTCCAAGATTGCAGCATTCATATAATATCTCTCCGGCGGGCGACGCACGTTACATATTCAAAGAGGCTTTCTATTCCTTCCATCAGCTGCCCTAGTCTCGTCAACTATCTGCGATAATGATTCTCATCATTGGCGCCGGCATGGCCGGCGTAACCCTCGCACGCTACCTCCACTCCCACGACATCCCCTTCCGCATCTTCGACCAGCAATCTCAGTTCAAGAACCAGGGCTTTGGTCTTACTCTCCGCTCAGACACCACCGCCAAGCTCCTCCCGCTTCTTGGCCTAGGGGAAGACGACTTTGCTACTCGCGTGGCTGTGGATCGCAAAACTGGCAAGACGAACACCTTCTTGGTCAACTTAACGACAGGCGAGAAATTTGCGGCGGCAAGCTTCAAAGAGGGAGCGAGCTCGCGAGACTTCAGGACAAATAGACAGAGGTTGAGAGGCGTCATCATGGGTGATTCTGCGGGGAGGGTGGAGTATGGATGCAAGCTGCGATCATTTAGTTCTACAACTTCCGGCGTGCGTGCGGAGTTTGAGAATGGGATGGTGGTAGAAGGTAGTGTGCTGGTCGCCGCTGATGGGGTGCACTCACTCATCCGCTCACGCCTGCTCCCGCATTGTGTCCCGCAGGACTGGGATGGTGTTATGGTGAATGGCACATGCCGCTTCTCACTTGCAGAATGGGACGCGAAGATTAGACCGCACATCCAGGATGCGGCGGTGTACCCCGGATTCGGGGATCAAAAGGTCCTCGCCCTCACCATTTATGATGCCAACTGGGACCCCGAGATCGGTTACGTCGATGTGTCGTGGGGCTTATCCAGAAGGAGAAAAGAAGGTAACGATCCGCTGTTCGTGAGATACGGGGACCGGTCGTTCGACAAGGGGAGTGCGCCAGACGCTTTCTGGGACGAAGTCGAGGCGTTGCCGCCGAAGGATCTTGTGGAACCTTTCAGGACTGTCTATGAAGACGTGCGAGCGCGAGGTGATAGAACGATTCACCATCAGCTTGTGAGCATGTTGATTCCGAAAGACGACCTGCTCGCCAAGCTCCAGTCGGACAAGGTTGTTTTCATTGGCGATGCGGTGCACGATTGGTCCAACCATGCAGGGACGGCGGCGAACGCGGCGATCCAGGATGCGCTGGCGTTAGGAGAGGTGCTGAATGGGAACAGGGGACTGGAGGAGTACTACGAGGAAAGGTATCCCAGCTGGCTGGGCAGTTACGAAAAGAACGGAGAGGATTTCCAGACCTTGCATCGGCCGATGAGCGAATGGAGGGCACTGTTGGATGTGCAGAAAGCGGGCCCGGATAATACGGAATTGAATCAGGCTGCGGCTCATGCTGCACAGCTATAGAACCAGGTGCCTACATGCCATTCCATAGGTTTCGGTATTAGGCATGTGATAGCTCAGAAGCTCATGTAGGCAGTCGACGACATCGCATTTGCGTACTGAGAACATGGATAAGACAGGATGCAGCAATTCCGAAATGATGTAACCATTTCCTCATGCAGGGATGCGCAAAAAGCAACAACATGGCGATGTGTAAGAAATGACTTTTAGATTCCAGCATTTCCGAGGAGAAAGATGCCACTAAATTCAAGCTAGAGCTTTCCCATGATGACGCGATGCTCGCAAGTGAAACCAATCTGCTGTTCAATCCGCGACCCGTATGATGGAAATGGGCCCCTTTTCTTCCTTATGTAGATGTGCCGGGAAACACAACCATCATCACCCCAAAATGTCGATTTCCCACTCATTCTCTGCCACTTTCCGGAACCAGATAGGTCATGGTCGTGCTGAAGAAGATAATCTGCTATCGGGAGAACTGGTCAGCGAAGATTCAGCCATTAGAACAGTTTTTGTACTGACGGAAAAGCTTTGAGACATCATGATTGATCCTCAATCCTTCTGTGCCTCCTGAGAAGGCTCTCCGGTGAGCTTCGCCTTCTTTGAAGATGCTTCGGGGACATTGCTGCATCATTCCCGTGTCAGTGTGATATCATGATAAGTATGCAAGCGAAAGAACTTACCCGCCAGAAGATTCTTCTCGCTCTCTCTTCTTGGACTGAGAGGGAAGATTAACGGTCTCATACTTCCACTTGTCGAAAGGAATGGACTTCTTCTTCTTCTTCTTTGCAACCCCTTTGCCAGTCTTCTTATCGGAAGGGGCGTTCTTCTTCGCGCCAGTTTCGGCGTCTTGTCCATTGTCCTCGGGAGCACCATCATCTTTCTTCAAAGTAGCAGTCTGCTTCTTCTGCTTCTTGTCCTTCGAGGCGGTAGACTTCTTGGCACGTGCCTCCTCTTCGAACTCCTCATCAGAGATCTCGCCATTGTACCACATGGCGTAACGGTTGGACTTCTCCACCCACTCATCGAACATGCTCTTCAGGCCCCAAATGTACTGGTTGCTGAAGGCCCACTCATAGAACTCTCCCGGGATAGTTCCGCGTCTTCGCTTGAATCGTGAGAGAAGGTTCTCGCCGGCAACTGGGAGGCCTTGCTCCTTCCATTCGTCGAGCTTCTTGGACGAGACTGCCAGGCTCACGATGAGGCTTCGGTACACGCCGAGCAGGGTGAACTGATCGGAGGGAATGACGCAATTCTCGAAGCCAAAGTCCTTGAGAGTCTGCTCATCGGTGATCATCTCGTCGATGCAGACGGCTTTGTGGAGGATTTCTCCGGTGGTCTTGCAGCTTGCGAAGCGAGAGGCGTTGTTATAGGTGGCCATTTTGTAGCTGAGGGAGTCTTTTTTCCGAGATGGGTTAGTTGATGCTTCAGCTTCAGAAGAGGAATGGTGTTTGATGGCATATCTGTTGCTTTTGTTATGTATTGTAGAGGAAGATTGGATCTGTGAAAGGCTTTTGTTGAGTTGTAGGTTGGAGAGTCAAGATCTTGGAGGTGAGTGGTGGCGAGAAGAATATTTATATTTGTGGATGGGACGTGGCTCCTGCACTACAAATCTAGTGGGAAACGTTCAAATCGGGTAGGATAGATGTGAAGCCAATGGAGAGCTTTTCCCCCGTCACAGTCAGTTGATAATGAGTTTTAGAAGGAAAGTGCCTCGCATGTCTCGGGATCAAGCAACGGTGGGCTGTTTAGGGCAGGTACGCCGTATCCTGGGTCCTCCCTGATAGAACGATGAGAGACGGGATAGCAAAAGATCAAAAAAAGAAAGAGAGAGAGATATTTTCACTGCAGAAGTTATTGAAAGGTGCAGCTGGTAAGTACTCAGTCTGTGATGATTGTTCTATGAAGCGGTCTTGCTGTTTCAAGGACGCTGGCATCTTCTTTTTCAGCTCTGCTATCTAAGGAAACTACTAATAAACGAGCCAAATGCAGCATCTCAATCGCCCTTTCCTCCAACCAATCTGGTCACTGTATCCGAAACGTCAATTTGTGAGGTCTTCATCAAGCCGTGAAGCACATGTCAGTTAAGCGCAGCCATGTGGATATGGAAAGCGAAGCTCGCCATCGATTCTTCCTTCTTCTTAGATACGTTCACCCTCCTTGTCAGCAATGGAATGCAGGAGCAAGCGTCGGACCCTGCCGCTCAGGTTGTCCTTCTCTGAGATCGCACAATTGCAAAACCACTTGAGCTCGTGGGTAAGGAGTATTCCAGGGTAGACATAGAACAGGGTGCCCATGCGCTCGAAGAGGACGTTCTCCTTCATCCGAATGTCCAGCTCGCGTGTGCTGATGTTATGGTAGAGCACCACACTCTTGTAGGCAGCAACCAGCTGTCTCTTGCTGTAATTATTGATACAGGCATCGAAGCGACAGTCGGTCAGGGTCTTCTGGTCAGTGGGAACCTGGTTGATGATGATGCTCTTGGAGAAAATGTCGGCGGTGGTTCGGGGTGGCTGGTCCACACAACGCTTAAAATGCTCCGCCCACGAACCATCAATTATGGGACCATACCTTACTGACACGTGGAGGTGCAGATGAAAGAGATGGAGTACATGGTGCACTTGCGCATGGTGTTCTGGCCACAGATGATACACTGGCCTTTAGTCTTTGACTGGCCCTGAGGCGCTGGCTGGTCCTTGAGCTCTGCGTCCGAGAGAGGGTCATTGCCGGAATAGCCGTTGTTGTTGGCCATTGTGTTGTTGTCTGCTGTGTTGCTCAAACGTGTGTGTTGTGACCATGAAGGTTTCTTTCCTTTCAGTGAAAGATGGAAAGGCATGCTTGTGAACGGAAGCAAGTTTGAGATGAGAGGTCTTGCGACAGGGCCACTCAAGACTCAGACCTTTGTATTTAGCAAGGTGAGTTTGGCGGGTATTGCCTGAGGGGGAAACTCAAGGTGACTTTTCAGGTAATGGTAAAGTGGAAGTCGGTAGGTGATATTCAAATAGGAAGGAACTCTAGGCCTATCTTTCCTTCTGGGCTGTGGTAGGTCAGATGACACGGTAGAAGGGTCCGAAGCCGACGGGGTACTTGAATCGAGGGACTAGGGCTTCCAGTCACATCCAAAGAATGGGTCCTTTTGCAATGAAATTACTGTCACCGCGATTTCTGTCTACCCAAGCAATATTACCTATGCGATGTTCACACTGAAGGCAGCTCAGAAGGCCTGCAATACTAAAGCCCTTCCGGGGGAGCCGCCTCTCTTGTTCCACCTCCTCATTACTCATACCTCCCTCTATCAAAGGCTATAGCTTTCCGCCTCCAAGTGCCAATCAAACAATGATGAAAGCGCAAGGCTGCTGAAACAAGGCTAGAAATATTCATCAGTAAAGCATTTGATTTGAATGGCAGTTTTGACCACCTTCATGCTGCCTAGGTCTCAGGATCAGCAGCCGGTCTCTCGAAGACGACCCTGTTCTCCGCGAACCAGTCACGAATTTCAGGACTGACATCCTGTGGTCTAGCGTGGATCTTGTCGCCAATGGACTCGTAGAGCGTGTCCTCCAGCATCCAGACATTGAGTTCCTCGGAGGTCACACTCTGGTTCTTGACGAGGTCATGGTAGAGGGTGAAGAGCCTGACCCGGTCGGATGGCTCGGGGCAGCGACTGAAGCCGTAGTCCTCTCTGGCTTGAGGGTGAGTAAGCATCCTGCCGCGGGTCACGTCCTCGACGATGATGTCGGCGGTTGTCTCGTCGCGGTTGTCGCAGGGGCGAATGTGTGCGGTCATCTCCTCGTGAGGCTTGTCGGCAAGGCCAAGACGCATGTACCTCTCGCAGGACCTGCAGCAGACCCAGTCCTGACCACATTTACTACACTTGCGAGAGGTAGGGAGCCTCTTGCAGACGATGCAAATGCCCCAGGTGCCCAAGGGGTCCGGCGACTTGTAGGGTTCGGCCTCGCAGTCAGGCATCGTCCAAGCCTCGCACGTGCCCGCGCTCCGGATGGCGTCGATCAATCTGAAGAAGTGGTGGGCACCAGGAGGGTGGAATATGAGGGGGTACTCGCCCTCGGGAAGAGACTCGCGGTTGGGAGGGGATGCGCGGTTGGGAGGAGACTCGCGTTCGGGAGAAGGCTCGTTGTCGTGAGGAGAGGCCGACATTGCTGGATGTAAATCGTGTTTGGTTTCCCGGGTTTGGTAGGATTCAGAGCAGATTGTTGAATGATCTCTTGCGTTGTGCGGCAGAAGTTGGAGAGCTTGATAGACGGACGTCTAAACTGAGGGAGAATCTGGAAATCAGTCGAAGATGGAAATCCAGGCTGGCCATGATGAGGTGAAGTCGAAAGAGTGGGGCTCAAGTGGTTCAGTAGAACACGCGAAGTTGTGGAAGTAGGAAGGAACGCACCCGCAGGAAGAAGATACGGGTAGGAAGGAAGGTGCAGGCAGGCCAAGTTGAAAGCGCTTTTTTTTAGTAGCACTTGCACTGTCTCGAGCAACCAAACGTTGAACATGGGGCATGCAGAGGTCTGTCAAAAGAAGAGACTCCATGATATAAGACAATTACTGGCACTTTAGGTTGATGCTTAGAACATCAGCATCTTGAATCGACTGTCAGCTTCAGCTAAACTCAATCTATTGAGAAGGTAGGAAAGACGAATCGTCCAGTCCCAAAATATCCGAAAACTACCCATTTTGTCCGAATGCTTCCTTGTATCAGCCCTTTTCATAGCCCAATTCGCTTTTTTCAATGTTCCAAATTTTCCCATTCTATCCCTGGCACATCTGAGCTAATCCGCCAAGCCGCAAAATGAACCTCAAAGCGCAAAGACTGCAGATCAAAATGCAGACTGAGTATCGTTAGCAAATGATGCCGAGTTGTAGTTGAGTGGAGCTACTCACTGAAGAACCTTGGTTGGTCCTCTCTTGTTTTTTGTTGGCCATCAGTGACCTTTTCACCATGACCCGCCGTACTTCTCATTTCAGGCTCATCTCCATACCAGTTCTGGAGGGATAAGACGCAATGATCCATACGGATCACTTCCTCAGTCCGACTGGAGCTTCTCTTGCTTGCGAGCGATCACATCCTCGAAAATGCCCCGCGCCGTGTTGCTAAATCCAGCGGCCCATAGATGAGTTCTCTTGAGCCACTTGAGATCATCGAGAATGATCAGGTCTGGACGGGAGAGAAATAGCATGGCGATGCGCTCAAACAGCTTGTGCTCCTTGACCCATATCTTCATCTCGTGGGGTGTGACGTCCATCTCGCGAATAATAGTCGTGTACATCTTGAGAAGCTTCCGGCAATCGATAAAGCTGGAGAGCCAGTAGAATTGGTAGTCGCGGAAGGTCTCAGTGTCTCTGGGAATTCTGTTGCTTAGAACATCCTTGTAGAGAGTATCGGCGGAAGTCTCGGCGACGCACATATCGAAGTGATCAGAGTTAACGTCATCGATAACGGCGATTTGCTGACAGTCCATGCTACAGATCATGACGTCGTTGCAGAGGGCGCATGTTCTCAAGGTAGGCTGTTTGCACACGATGCATCCATCATCGACGTCGTCGACGTCGTTAGCGTCGTGCACGCTATCGCAGCTGTCGACGACACTGGGGCTCGACAGCAAAGCGACACCCTGGTTGTAGTCGTGGTCCTGACGTTTCTGCTGAAAATCTGGAAGGAAGAGCCCAGACGTGTCGAACTTGTCTTGGTCGTCAGATTCCACGAGATGTACGTTCATGTTGGGCATTCCGTGTCTAGTCTCTGAGGTGGATAGATAGAAAATATCAAATCGCTTGAGGCATGAATCCTTTATTGAAATTGAAAGCTGAGAGGAGCTGAGTTGGGTTGGTTGTAGAGAGAGAAAAGAGAAGCAGAATGGGTTGGAGGATGAGGCCTGATATTTATAGACGGAAGACTAGAGGCGGAAAGTGAGAGAAAATTGAAGTAGCAAGGAAGGTGGTGTTCGCGGTTACTTCTTGCCGTTCAACGGGCTCTTAATCCCAGAAGGCAAGTAAGTTCCTATGTTGTTCCTGCATCATACAAAATAGCAGCAAGTCGGAGGTGTGGCCGCGGTTACCTTTTTAGATTATATTCCGGGCAAGCATAATCGAGTATCTTCTGGAAGCGCCAGCCGTACTTACCTCATCTCACTTAACAGTACGTTTCTTCACCATTTTGATTGCAATGAACTTTCACTATTTTTTCGGGCCAACCATCCTTGGCCATCTTGTCTCCTGCGCCAGGTGTGCCAGCCCACTGGTTAATGTCCCCATAAGATTCATAAACCACGCATCCTGTTCTTCACGCCGCCTCAATCACGACCGTTCTTGATCCACTCTTCCGCCTCCATCTCGCTTTCCAACTTCTGCCGCGCAGTCACAAACTCGATCGTAGCCCTTGCCTTCGAACTAAGCTCACTCTCCCACAGCGGCGTCTGCTTGAACCACTGCAGGTCCCAATAGCCATGCATGTTCGGGTACGACTGGCACAGCACCGCAATGCGCTCAAACAGCTTACCCTCCTCCCTCCAGAGATGTATCTCGCGGGCGCTGACGTCCATCTGGTCAATGACCTGCCAATAGAATCGCAGAAGGCACTCCCTGTTTGTGGGGCCACGAATGTTGAAGATGTCGAAGCGGTAGTCCTTGATCACGCGCTGGTACATCTCCGGGAAGTTTCCCGGGCAGTACGGAAGCCATTCCGCGGCGGCAAAGATGTAGAGCAGGCTGGCGGTCGTCTTGGGGTTGAGGACGCACTCCTTGAAGTGCTCTGCGCATGAGGCCGAAGGGCCGGCGAAATGACCGCCGACGAGCACGAAGTTCTTTTGGAATCGCAGGCTGCAGATCCAGAAGTCGTTGCAGAGGGCGCACTTCCGCGAGGTGCGCTTCTTCTGGCAGACGGTGCACAGGCCCTTGAGGTGTTCCTGCTCTGTGGCCTTCTTGTTGGCGGCGGCGGTGTTTTCGGGACTGGACTTCTGCGAACGGCCTTCGGTATGGGAGCTGCGGTCGTCCGACTTGTCGATGGGGGTATCCTTCAACCGCTGTCGGCCGCTCCAGCGATTAAAATCCTGTTCGATTCTGGCGGTCCAATCAGCGTGCTCACGGCGGTCTTTCTCTTCAGATTTAAGGGTGTCTTCGTCCTTGGTTTCGTTGGCGGGACTGGTGTTCAGCGCAAGACCTTCAAGATCAGAGCTACAGTCGTCCGGCTGCTTGATTTCTGTCTGCCCCAACCGCCTTTTGGCGATCGTTATGTTCATGTCCCTTTGGAGACACTCGGCGAATTCCTGGACGACGCTGTCCCCTTCAAGGTCGGTGAGATCATCATCTGACGAGTAAGAGTCAATAGAATCTGAGGCATAGTATTCTTCTCGTTCGTAGCCGTTCCACCTGTTTTTGATTTCGGCCATCTTGAGGCTAGTTGATGTGCTCAACAGAATGGCGAGCGGTGTTTGGAAAAAAGAGGAGAAGCGGAAAGGATATTGGTCGTGTAGGGAAAGAAAGATGAGGGAGGGTAAGCGGAATGGTCCAGTATTTATGTTAGTAGCCAGTCACAGTGACGTTGAATGGGTTTAGGGAGGTGATTTACTCGAAAGTGATCCGTTTCACCGCGACGATAGCATCAGGCAGGGCACTTGAGTCACTTCAGAAGATATGAGACGATAGCACGGAACAGAAGAGATGTATGATGTAGACATTACGCTCTAGAAAGCTTTGCTAGCGAGTTCTCTGTTCCACAACCGATTCACTGATACCCCATCCTCACCGTGTGCTCATGCAAAACTATGAAGACCACGACCAAGCAGACCCAACATCAGTCCTACCACCCACCCTGATGAAGAGTGGTACAGCAAACTAAGAGCCCGAATGTATCCGACCTCAAGTCCCCAAGGAGAGAAAACCTCTCCATCGAATCTACTTCTCCTGCGCCATAGCAGCCTTCTTGCGCGCCACCTTCGCCGCAACCTGCTGCGCCTTGATCTCCTCCGCGAAGCCCGCCAGGTTCGCGCCGGGCATGTACATGATCGGCGCAAAGGGCATGCCGCCCGGGCCCGTGAGGTGGTGGACGCTGGCCTCGCCGCTATCGTCGGCTGCAACGCCCGCCTCGCCGCGCGCCTCGCGCGCCTTCCGGCTGTCGGCGACCTTGAACAGGCCGTCGCTCATCAGCTTGACCTGCTCGAGGAAGTCGGCCTTGGTGTTGATGGGCTTGGCGCCGGCCGCGTCCATGTAGGCGCGCGTCTCGGAGTTGGCGTAGGTGGGGTCCCAGATGTAGCGGTTGCGGGTGAGCCTGGTTTCAGTGTCAGTCTGATCGTGTCAAAGAAGGTGGCGATGGAGAGTAGGTACCAGCGGAAAGTATCCTTCAACTGATTCATCTCCTCCCGACTACCCCCGCCCGCCTCCAGCGCAGCTCGCAGCTTGTCCTGCACATTCTTCAACAGCACAGCCTTTCCCTCGCCCAGCCAGGCGTGCACCTCGCCCGAGGTGACGCTGAGCGTAGTGACCATGAGGTGGCGATACACATCCAGCAGCTGGAAGCCGTCCGCCTGGGTGACGGTGCGGTCGAAACCGAAGTCCGAGACGGTCTGCGGGTGGACCGGGACGATGCCGGTGACGATGTAGGCCTTGAGTATGTCGGCGGTGTTCATGTTCGCGAAGTCGATGCACTTGAGCACCGGGCAGGTGGCGCAGGGGTTGGGGCTTGGTGGCGGCGCGCTTCTGCTTCTCGTGGGCTTCGACTTCGGCGATGAGCGCGTCGCCCATGGAGCAGAGAGACTCGAGGCCGGCGTCGTGCTCGGCTTGCCACTCGGCGGCTGCTTCGGCGAAGAGGGCCTCGTCGGACTTGGGAATGGAAGACATGGTGGGTTAAGGGGGTGTCTGGGTATGTTAGTTGGGGATTGGTTGTGCTGGAAGGGGGCCTTACATGTTTGAAGAAGTTGTGAGTGGAATAGAAAGATGAGTGACCGTTGATGAATGACGGAGGAAACAGTCTTAAAAGGATTCCAGAATTGAAGAAGGAGAAAAGAAAAAGAAAGAGAGGTTGAGGAGGTGTCGAGGCAAAGGAGGAAGAGATGTGGACGTGCCTGTGCCGGTGGTGGTGGGGCGAGGTCGTAGGTGGGTGCGGCATCTGGCAGCCTCGAGCAATTTAGTCGATGCGCGTTTGCAAACGGCGAGCATCGAGGCGGTCAGGGGAGAGTAGTACTTCACTTCCGTGGAAGCCTACCAGCCGCAGTTGCCCCTGATCAAGAATTCCAGATCGTGAGATATCGATATTTGCCTGGATTGCCTGGATCAGAGGCAGCCATGATGCAGGCGGAGACGAAACAAGCGTTATCACTTGCTACAGGCATGAGGTTTCACAGGAAGAGATATTGTTAACGGTGTCATGTCATTGGTATTACGTGAGCGTCTTGTTTTCAGGTCATCATTGGACAGGAAGCCATTCATGAGGCCATGATAACCGAGCTACGTATCATCTCCAGCGACGAGAACCTCCATCCTAGCCAGCTTGATGTTCCCAACTCCAACCCATCCGTAGAATGTCTTCAGATCCCATCACATTCTCGAAACTTGATAGCAGATGCTTCCCATGTATGTCACTCAGTGAGAGACAATAGCAGCAAGAACACCAGCCGCAAACGAGACTCCAACAATAGCCGAGCCAAGAGTAACCCAGCGTCCAGCCTGTCTCATCTACTCCACCACACATCAGCCAACGTTCTCCCCATCTTCACTCCAAGGGCTCACTGACCTTCTCCTTCCGCTGCTCCTCCGCCTTCCGCTTGCTCTTCTCCTCCTGCGCCTCAAGGTACTCCTTCTCCGCCGACGCAATCGCCTCCGCGTACGTCTGGCCAGTGCGCACAATACTCATCACGCACTCCTCATCCGCGCGCATCGTCTTAACCTCGTCGGGCGGTCCCTGGTCGCTGTACGAGTAGAACATCATGACCTTGTTATCCACGTGCGGGCGCGTCAGGATGTACGCAATGTACTCGCCCTTCTCGGCGCGCGCGTCCATGTCCTCGCCCATGAGCTTGTCCCAGCCCGCCACCTCCTTGGACACCTCCGCGAGCTGCGAGCCCGCGGGCGCGGCCATGAAGGCCGCTTCGACGGCGGCTTTGTCACCGTCGCTGTTGAGGCCGTCGAAGATGTGCTTGTGCGCGCCGAACCAGGTGAGCGCGGCGGCGAGGTCAGGCTGCGTGGCGGGGGCGCCGGCGTGCTTCTTCTGGAGGCTGTTGAGGCGGGCGAGCATGGTGTCCTTCTCGATCCACTTCTGGATGTCGGCGGGGTCGAGGGACAGGGTGTCGACGAGGACGCGGTAGAGGGCGAGCAGGGCGAACTTGTCCTTGACCTGGTAGGCGCGGTCGAAGCGGAAGGCCTGGGCCATTGTGGGGTCGAGGGGGGGCATGTCACTGTCGATAGCGGCGCGGAGGGCCTCGGCAGGGGTGGACGAAGAGGCAGACTGTTTGTGACCTCGCTCCTTGGCGATGCACTTCAGCTCCTCGTCGGCGACCTCCTGGACCTTGTTGCGGATGTCGGCGACGCACTCCTCGGCGTCGAAGTTGACCTTGACCATCTTGTCGGAATGGCAATCGCTGTCTGGTCAGATGTGTTAGATGAGTATGTGAGACGGTAAGGGCAAACTTACCGGATTGCAATCGAGTAGTTTCCTTTTCTGAGAGATGATCTGTCGTGTGGATGGTGTTGGTAGGTGGAAGGTTGAGGTTGCAGGCGACTGTCTGCTAGAAAGGTAGGAGGGGAAGGAGCCCAGCTGCCGGATCCCCCCTTTGACGGGGCTTCACATGGCAACGATGTTGGCGGTCCGTCAGAAACTCAGTCGATCAGGTTGAGGTGGACAAACGGCAAGCGGCCGGGCGGCCATGCACAAGGATGCATTGTTTGTTGGGGCCGAGATGCAGAACATCATGCCCGATTGAGAAAGAGTGCAAACGAAACAGTGGCCCAGGGATAGAGTGGCTTGCGGGATGCTTCTCACAATAGATGGAATGGGCATGAACCAATGCCTGCAGTCATTTAATGTAGTTTCTTGTTAATTTCATGCCTATCTCTTTGTATTGCTCGTGTTTGCGGTGTAGCTGTTCTCCTGATTCTCTTCCCCCTTCATGTCCGCGATTATGGGCGACATCGTCAAGCCATGCTGCTTCCCATGCCAAGTCACGGGTAAGCCCCATCTCACCCACTGATCCAAGATACACTCGGTGAAAGTCTTAGAATGTAATAGCGTTCGTACTCCGACGAATAGTGGTTACGGCCGACGGCAGTGACAGCAGCAGGAACCGGGCGACGGCGACGGGCGACGACGACAGCACGGCAACAGCTCAAGCGTCCATGAGTCTGACCTGATTCAGCAGCTTCTTGAATCTCTGCTCCAGGTCAGGGGTGGACCAGAGGGAGCGAATCTCGCCCTCAGCATCCTCGTGGTCCCAGACCCACTGATTGTCGTTGGCGAAGGCGACGAGACTGGCGGGGACCTTCTTATTGCTGGCCAAGGCCGCCTTCACCTGTAGACCCAAGCTCTTCTGGCCCTCCTTCATCCACTTGTGCACAGTCATCTCGGAGATGCCACAAGTCTTGGTAAGCTGGCCGTAGATCTTGAGCAGCTTGAGGCGCTCGAATTCGAAGTGGCAGCGGCGGAAGCCGTAGTCGGTCAGCGTTTGCGGGTCGGTAGGGTCCCGGTTGGCGGCAACATCCTTGAAGAGGATCTCCGTTGTGGTGCCCGCCAGGGACACCGGTTTGTCGCTTCCATTGGTATTGCCGGCAGGGTCGGACGAGGTGTTGCCATAAACCAAGTCTGCGAGTTCCTTCACCTGGGCGGCGACATTCAGCTTGCCAGTCTCAATTGCTCGCTTGACGCTTGGATCGTTGAGAATGGTCTGGGTCATCATCTCCTCGTATCGCTTTCGGTCTGGGCATCGGTTCTTCATGTAAGCGTCGATCTCGGGAAACGACATGGACTTTGTAGTCTGAGTGCCGGCAGCAGTTATTGCGCCAGTGGGGTCAAAGCCGAAGACGCGTTGGTTGAGGACGAGCCAGGAGTAGCAGTGTGCGGCCGCCCTGGTGTTCTTGCTGCGCAGCTCACGCTTGAGATTGCCGATGAAGTTCGGGATGGTGTCGGAGCGCCACTGGTGGAGAGTCTGAGGGGTGATACCGCTGGACTTGAAGAGGATGTCGTACATGTTGTAGAGAGGGACGACATCGGTCAGCGAGCGGCAACGGGCAAAGCCGTAGACGTCAAGGGTCTCTTGGTCCTTGGGGAGCTCATCTCGTGCATTGGCAGCGAAGAGGAGCTCCGCGGGGGTGGGTTTGGTCTCCATGATGATTGACCTGCGATGGTCAGTTACTAGGCAGTTCAAGTTATTGGAAGTTCATCCTACCTTTCGTTGTGGTGGTGTTGTGAGAAGTTTGTATGGGCGGTGCGTGGAAGAGAAAGAGGGTTTAGCTTCCGCTAGGAATGGCAAAAAGTCAGAGGTGAGGTTTGCCTTCCCTTCTTCCTTCATAAATATCAGAGCAGGCAAGAGGTATCCAGCTACCTGGGTTGCGTGCCTGCCAAATCCAGGTATGGCTGGTAGCTTGCTTATGTCATTGATGTTCCAAAGGCCGTCCTGTCTTTCTCGGTTTTCCCGCTTTCCGTGCTTGTCTTTATTTCCCCCTCGTCCTTGAGTTTAGGTTGTTGTCAATTTATTCTCCCGTTCTCATTTTCAATCCTCATCGCCATCCACCATCTCATCCCCGTCTCTTTACCCGGATCCATCCCCGTGCTTTCTGTAGTCCTCGTTTCTGTCTCCCGTCTCCCGTCTCCTGTACCCCCCATCTTCATCCCCAGCCCTTCACCCCATCTCCGATTTTCTTCCTCTGTCTTTTCCATCCCTCCTGTTACTTTTATGCTCCTTATTCTTTGTCCATTCTTCGAAATATGCATTAACCATCGCGAATTACTTAGCCATCTTACGAATAATAAGTAGCAATAGACCTCTTAGTTAAGCTTTGCATCATTATATTTAATGAAGCCTTCCCTTAGTGACCATTTATATGCAAAACATTCGCTCTGAACAGCCTTCTTCCGACCATTACTCAGTTAAAAGCTACTACTATGCCTTCATTACCAAGTTTACTTCCTCGTCACAATTGCGTGTTGTCAACAAAGACGCTGCATCCTACACAGTTGATACCTAAGAGTTCATAAAGCAACGAATCCGGATCAACATCAGAGTAAAGTAATATAATCCTCTCGAAACCTTTTTCGAAATGTGATAGTTCAACAAACGACATTCGGCACGCTTTGGGGAGGAATGTCACGATGCGCGTCTCTTACAAACGGCCGTCATCAAAAGTGGGTCGACTCCTTACTCGTCATTGGCCAGCGCCCGGACCTTCACCCCCCAACCACCGTCATGGCGCCATCCCTGTTCCGTGAGTCAAAGGACCTAGCACCTGCCTTCGTCCCCCCTTCAAACATCGCCCGGGACCTCATCCAATTGGCAAACCCCGTCACACAAACACACCCAACAGCGAGCAAGGAAGATGCCGCCGAACGACACCACCCAGGAAGACGTCGCCCAGCAGCGGCCGCTCTTGGCCGACCCTCACGAGGAGTACGGCGCCACCGAAGGCGGCCCGGACCGCGCCGTCCTGCCCCCCGAAGTCATCGCCGACGAGCGCGGCGCCGGCACCTTCACCCGCAACCTCGGCGCCGTCGAGGCCTTCGCCATCGTCATCAGCATCGTCATCGGCAGCGGCGTCTTCACCTCCCCGGGCTCCATCGACACCAACGTCCCCTCCCCCGGCGCCGCCCTCGTCGTCTGGCTCGTCGGTGGCGTCCTCGCCTGGACGGGTGCCGCCTCCATGGCCGAGCTGGGCACCGCCATCCCCGGCGAGGGCGGCGTCCAGCCCTTCCTGCGCTACATCTACGGCGACGTCTTTGGGTTTCTGGCCGCCTGGACCTGGATCGTCGCCGTCATGCCCGCCACCCTCGCCATTTTGTCGATTGTCTTCGTCGAGAGCATCTACTCCGCCGGCGGCGTGACCGACCAGGCCGGTGCCCTCTCGCACAAGCTGTTTTCCATTCTCATCCTCATCGTGATGAACGGCGCCAACTCCATCAGCACCAAGGCCAGCACCCGCCTCAACAATCTGTTCGTGGTGACGAAGTTCGTCAGCATCGCCGCTGTCGTCGTTGCTGGTCTCGTCGTGGTTATCACCCAGGCGGCAGACCACGACCGCGACATTGGCGGCCGCGACTGGTTCACCAAGCCCTGGTTCGAGAGCCGCAAGACGGTCCTCCCCGGCGGCGAGGAGATTGACTGGACCAAGGTTGGCGCGTGGGACATGCTCGGGTTCTACTCGGCTGCTCTCTACGGCGCCTTGTGGGCGTACTCTGGCTGGGACAAGGTGAGTCCTCCCTTCATCTCACGAACATGCCGTATCTAACATCTAAAGGCCATCTACGTCACGGCTGAGCTGCAGCAGCCCGCCCGCCAGCTCCCTCTCGCCATCAACTCCGCCGTACCGACAATCATCCTGTGCTTCCTCGCCGCCAACGCAGCCTACTACATCCTGCTGCCCTGGTCCGTCGTCTCAACCACAGACAGCGTCGCCGTCGTAAGTCTCGCCATCTTCCATCCCCTCAAACCCCCACTAACCACCCCCAGACCGCAATCAACCGCCTTCTCGGCCCCGCCTTCGGCATCCTCGCCGCCGTCCTCATCTGCCTCGTCGTCGCCGGCTCCCTCCTCGGCAACTCCTTCGTTGCAGGCCGCATGACCGTCGCCGCCGCCAACTTCAACTGGCTGCCCAAGTTCCTCGGCGCCGTCGGCCGCCTGAGCATCACCTCCGACGCCCTCGCCTCCCCGGCCGACTCTTCCGACGGCGAGTCCCCGGCCAAGGAAAAGTCCGACGCGCCCCTCAACGCGCTGCTGCTCTCGACCGTCCTCTCGGCGCTGTACATCCTCTTCGGCAACTTCCGCGCCCTGCTCACGTTCAACGGCCTCGGGGAGTACACCTTCTTCTTCCTGACCGTGCTCGGCGCCGTGGTGCTGCGCGTGCGCGAGCCCAAGATGCGACGGCCGTATAAGCCGTTTGTGCTCATCCCTGTTGTGTTTGCGCTTGTGAGCGGGTTTGTTGTTGTGCGTGGTGCTATTTTCGCACCGGTGCAGGCTGTCATTTTGATCGTGCTGTGGTTGGTGGGGTTGGGATTCTACTGGGCTAGACGGAAGTACGCTGCTAGAAGTGCGAGGACTGAGTAGATGGGCCGTCAAGTTCTGTTTGAAGAGACGGGTTGGATGCAGCTTTACATTCTCCAAATGACTCAATCTAGAAAGACAGATACGTCGATAGACTAGACCCCATACACAACTCTTACAATTCCTCGCTCTTCTCATCCAACTTGGTCGGATCATCCAGATCCTTAAACAACTTCACGCCCCAGTTCCTTCCAGGGTTGTTCAATCGGTGCTTCTTATCCTGCTTGCCAATCTCCTCCAGCTCCTCCTTGCCAAACTCCACCTCCAGCGCCTTCCTGTTGCTCACAATGTGCGAGTCCTTCGTGCTCTTCGGGATCACAATCGTCCCGCGCTGCACGCCCCACGCCAGCACCGCCTGGAACACGCTCACCCCCTTCTTCTCCGCGACACCCTTCCAGAACTCATCATCGAAAATGGCCGGGATGTCGTCGCGGTACGTCGGGTTCGTGTTCGCCAGCGGCGAGTACGCAATCACCTCGATCCCCTTCTCCTTGTGCCAGTCCACAAACTCCTGCTGCTGCAGGTACGGGTGCGTCTCAAACTCGTGCGCGTACGGCTTGATCTCCGCCACTTCCAAAATCTTCTCGACATCCGCCTTCGCAAAGTTGGACAGCCCGATGTGGCGCGTCAGGTTCGCCTTCACGAAGCCCTCGAGCGTCTTCCACGTGTCGACGATGGACGTGTCGCGGTCCAGCTGCGTCGTGCCGGGCACGAAGGCCACCGGCCAGTGGACCAGGTACAGGTCGAGGTAGTCCACGCCCAGGTCGGCGATGGACTTTGCGATGGCGGCCTCGGCTTCCTTTTGGCGGTGGTCGGTGTTCCAGAGTTTGGAGGTGATCCAGAGGTTCTTGCGCGCGACGCCGGAGGAGGCGATGCCTTTGCCTGTCTCGTCTTCGTTTCCTGGGGGTCACCGTCAGTACTACTCATCGCGCAGACCACGCAGGGAAGACGAACTGTAGATCTTGGCAGCGTCAATGTGGTCATATCCAACCTCGCCCAGCGCAAACTCCACGGCGTGCGCGACCTTGCCCTTGTCGGATAACCAGGTTCCCAGGCCGAGGGCGGGGATCTTGTCGAGGCCGGGGAGGGTAGCGTGGGCCAGCCCGGCGGTGGCGGCGGCGGCAGCTAGGGTTTTAAGGTACACCATTATTGAAGCTGTTTTCGTTGCTCTCGCAGTTTAGCAATGGGGTTGTTCAACCTTTGTAAAAACGAAAGAGGGGGGTTGCCCGCCTTTTTGATTCTCTTATCATCCCAAAATTGATAAACATGCTCCTCCCACCCCCTGCTCAGTCAATCGCATCATCCATCCCCGGCTCCCCTCCCCGCTGCGGAGGTGCACGGCAGATGACATCATCCACCTCCTCACTTTCACCACACTGCATTGACACGCACAACGTCGCAGCTCGAGCACGTCAGTTCGGGTCAATTGGATACGTTACTTTACTCTGAGCACGCATTGAGCATCGAGATGGGATGGGATGTCTCGACCTTCAAAGATTCATCTCATCTAGATGTGCCGAGGCTTCATCGCCATCTTGATGGATGCCAGGGGTGAAGATAGGCTATGCCGGAAGAGGAAGGTGAAGCTCCGGTGGGGTCCGGTAGGAGGCCATAGCTCCCGGGAGAGCTCCGCCATCGGCGACCGGGGAGGGCCCGTCTTCGGACAATATTCTCCTTCTCATTGGACTTGGGGCCAAAACCAGCTACACGTTCATAGAAAACACTTAATTGTTGCTTGGTATTAGAAATATGCTAATTAACCAGAAATACGAAACCATCACCACCCTTCGAACACCACATTCCCCTTACGCTGGGTTCACAATCAACTCAACCGCCGTACACCCCGGCATCGCCACCCCAGCCTTGACCGCATACACATGCATCCCCGACCCCGAGTTCCCATCCCCCGAGCTCGCCGCTCTCACACAGAACAGATAATCCACACCCACCACACTCATCAGCACCCGCGCGCGCCCATCGCTCAGCATCGCATACGAGAACACCTTCATCGCCGCGCTCTGGCTGTTGCTCCAGTACAGCAGACTGTACGACCCGGAGGTCGAGACATAGTAGTACGCGTTGTGCGTCACAGAGTACAGGCTCCCGTCGGCGGCCACGATGAAGGTCTCGCGGCTGCCCTGGCGGTAGTAGTTGTCCGTCATGTGCGTCGCGCCGTCGGAGAGGACGTACCCCGAGTTGGCGTTGACGGCCGGGCTGAGGGCGAGGTAGCCGATTGTGCCGATGGGCGCGTTGGGGGCCACGTTGATGGTCGTGGTTGAGGTGACGGTCTGGATGAGGGTGAGGGTGGAGGTTGACGCGGTGGTTGTGGCGGAGGCTTCGCCTGTGGTGAGGGTCTGAGTTGTCGTCGCTGAGACGGTGGCGGTTGTGGTCACGGGAGTTGCGAGAAGAGAGCAGGCGGAGGAGACGACGTCAGCTGGAGGTGAGGTTAGTATCGTGATATGATGAGTGATGGGGGTGAAAACGTACCAGGGAAAGAAGCCAACCCAGCCGGCGTAGCATCCCTCCTTGCCCTCCTCTTAGACGCAGCAGCAACCTCAGGCAGAATGACGACGTCGACAAAGTTGCCATCCGCGTCCTTAGTCCCGTTAATAAGCTGGTCGTCTCTTGCCCAAAGGCCGCGGCGGATCTTGCTTGAATGGTCGAGCGGGGTGAGGTCGTCATGCAGACAACTGCTCGTCGGACGAGGCGGCAGGGCGCGCTTGAGCTGCTTCGTGACAGCGACAAGCTGCGTGGTGGTGCTGTACGCCGTCGCCACCGGCGTGACGGTCGCGACGTTGGTCGTAGACGGGACGGTGGCGTAGAGCGTCGCCGTCGCGGTGGTCGTGGGCGTGGTGTACCCCAGCAGCGACGAGCAGTACGGCTGCAAGGTAGAGGCGACGATTGCCGAGCTGGCGGACGCGACGGGGCACGGGATGCGCGGCTTGCCTGCGTTTGTGGAGTTGGTGTAGGAGAAGCTGTAGGAGATGATGTAATGGTCGCTCCCGCGGTATTGGCCGTTGTTGGTGGCGTAGCTGGCATCCCAGGACTTGGAGTACTGCGCGCTGTTAGAGAAGAACCGCAAGAATAACGAGGATGAGAAGGAAACATACCAGAGAGCAGTACTGTCCCTCAGGCACCCCGTTCTTCAGGACAAAGAAGGTGTTGAAGAACTGGCACGTCTGGGCGGGCGAGTTCTTGGGCGGGTGGCGGAGGTTATACTCGGACTGCGCCGTGCAGGCCGCCGCGCAGAGCTTCGGGTCGAAGGGGCCGTTGGTGAAGATCTTGGAGCCCATGAAGGTGTTGTAGCCAGCGCAGTCGAGGGGCGCGTTGATGCTGGCGTCGCCGAGGTAGACCGCGGGGGCGTACCCGGCCTGGTTGTCGGCGCGCTGGGCGACGTAACCGTTGGAACCCGCAATGACGACCTCGAACTGGGCGCGCCACTGGCCGCGGTTGGTGGTGTAGCTCTCGTAGACGGGGCCGCCCCAGAAGACGCACTTGATGACGTTGGTGCTCGCGGGGTTGGGGCAGCTGTCGGCGGGTTCCTGTATCATGTTAGAAGAGGTTTGTTTTCCAGAGAAAGAGGTGGCATGCTTACGACAGTGGGATCGCGCTCAAAGTAGATGTTGAACGCGACGCAGCCGTTGATGGCATCGCACTTGGCCGCGCACGCCTTGGTGTCGTAGCTGTCGAGGGTGGTGTAGCCCATGTATCCGTACGCACTGCTGGAGGCCTGCAGATTCTTGAACGTGTTGAAGTAGCCTGCAGGTGTGGGTGCATTCTTAGCCGCCGTGGAAAGGTCCGCGGAGCTCAAGAAGGCCGCCGCGGTGTCGGGGCTCGGGACGGGCCCGGCGCCGGTGGGCTGCGGGTCGCACGGCCCACGCACGGCGAGACTCCGCTTGTTCTTCTCCGCCTTGACGGGAGTGGTTGCCTGCGGGAGCGGGCTGGCCATGACCTCGGCGACGATGCTGGCAGCGGCGGCGTTGGCGTCGTAGGGCACGATGGTCTCCGCGGCGGCGCCGATGGGGACAGTGGCGTTGGGTGGGGGAGGAGCATCGTCGATGACTTGCCAGACGAGGTCTTGGGCTTTGGCGAGCGCGGCGAGGGCGCTGAGGAGAGGTACGGATCTCATTTTAGCGGTGTCAAAGAGAGACCGCTGGACTGTAGCCAAGTGTTGGAGCTTAGTCTGAGGAAGGGGGTAGGAAGGAGTGAAGCTTGAGTCGATTGCTGTGTGTCCTTCTTGCCAGACAAGAGATGGGATGCTGCACTTTATACAGATTTGTTGATGCCTCTTAGACCATGCTCTAGTGACCGACCGGTTTCTGCCCTCGCCATCACGTTCGTGGTCTGGATGAGCCTTCTCAGCACTCCCCACGGGCTATTTCACGATGCATACAATAGTATCGAAACACAGACTTCATCCCCAGAGCCGATGGGGATTAGATCGCGGAGCTGAACCACAGTATCGGGATAGCCAGCCATGTCGTCCCATAACCTAATTCTCTCTTCTCCCCTGCTAGTCAGCAAGTCTGGACCGCTGCCGTCCGTCCCTGCAACGCTACTGTCGCACAGAAGGCTCAATCTGGGTTGAGTCGTTGACGAATGTGGATACCTTCACCACGTGAACTCGGGAATCTGGAGATGCCGGCCCTTTCCTCAATGCCTAATTTGACAAACAAATTCAGCCCTGAGCGGAGGGACAGCTGAGAAGCTCCAATCGACCCAGACAGTCGGGTTTGGGGGTCTGTGATGGGGGAAGCCCCGGCTTTTCGCCAAGGTCTGGATCCCGGGATCGGCAGGGGTTGTCGACAAGGGGTAATTGCAGCTGACGATCAATAGTCTAAACAAGCGGTAGGCTCTTGGCTCCTTGGGGGTTGTTTACGCGAAAAGCTCTGACAAAATCTCCTTTTGCGTGGTAAGCTAAAGCTTTGGGTTTTGTTTGTGGGATCACAGGTGAGGATTGGGTGTAAGATGTGGTCCAAATAGCAACGGGGGGCCATTGACGTGGGATGAGTGCTTCGGCATCGCCGCTGCTAACAAGCTTACTGTTGTCTTTGGCTTAGATTCGCTCTCAAGGGCCATATCGCGGAAGAATAGGTTTCATCGACTGAATTTCAACCTTTCACAATTTGCCGATTATGTCTTAGCTGTCCCAATGACTCTTCTCGCAACGGCTCACCCTACACTTAGATCATCAAAAAGCTTTCACGTGACTTGATCTACGGCTTACCCCCGGAGTGTTCTGCATGCTGCATGATTGTGCAACTCGGTAACTCAACACTGAAAAATGCTGTGGACAGAGACCTCCTCGGCGGCGGTATAATAGGATGTTGTGCAAGGTGAGACTTGAAATAAAGTGTGGCGGCGACGCCTCGGAATACAAGAACGGTCGGGACGTTCATAGTTCCAGCCACACGGTTGAGGCGTCACGTGCATCTCGGCGTTCTCTCATTCTGTGCTAGATTTCATCTCATTTCCTGCTTGCACTAGTTCAAGTCCATCGCCCGAACACCATCGCAAAGGCCTCCCTCACATCCAACTGCCGAGACTCATGCCCATCACCAACGCAGAAAAGATAACCCCGAGCGGTCTAGACCGCGCTGCGCCCGAAGAGGAAACCGACCCCTGCACAGCGGCCATAGCTCCCCGTCCCGCCCCACTCCACTCCTCCGCCGACCCGGCCGTACTCTTCACCGTCGCGTTCGTCGCTCCGGCCATCAACACCGCCTTGATGCTATCATACGCCGGCTTCGGGTTCATATCCTTATCAAACAAACACGCATCCCCCTGCCCCTGGAACGTCGACGGGATCCAGCTGTACTTGTCCGTAAACTCCCACACCACGACCCCGACGCACCCCTTCGCGTCAACGCACGTCTTCACCACGCTCGCATAGTCCATCGCCTGCTGCTGCACCGCCGCATCGTCCGCCGGCACCTTGCCATGCCGGATATCCAGCTCCGTCAGCGCCACCTCCAGCCCCATATCCGTAAACCGCGACATCACCTTACTCAGCGTCTGCGGCGACGGCGTCTTGCCGACCTCGAGATGCGCCTGCAGCCCCATCCCGTCAATCCTCACGCCCGCGGCTTTGAGGTCCTGCACGATTTTGACCGCGCCGTCCGTCTTTTTGGAGTTGAACTCGAGGCTGAAGTCGTTGTAGTAAAGCTTCGCGGCGGGGTCCGCGGCCGCGGCGGCGCGGAAGGAGATGGGGATGAAGTCCTGCCCGAGGGTGCGCGAGAAGACGCTGTCGCGGAGTGTGCCGTTGTCGGCCAGGGCTTCGTTAACGACGTCCCAGGAGTAGCAGGCGCCGGCGAAGTGGGCGACGGTGTTGGAGATGTGGGCTTCGATTACGGGGGTGAGGGTCTCGGGGGTCCATGTGCCTTGGGATACTGCGCTTTCGTCAACAAAGCGTTCACGCGCAACGTTTTTCGAGAGGAAATACTTGCCGAATGAAGGGAGCTGCGAGTGCCATGTCAGCGCATGGCACCTCATCATCTGTTTGTTGGCTTGTCCGACGGCGCGGACAGCATCGGGGTTCGTGAAGGTGAACTGCCCCTGCGTCTTCTCCGTTGCGTCCCACTTCTGGCTGTTCTCCGGCACGACCAGCCCAAACTCCCCGGTGCGGTTGAGGACGGCCATGTACGCCGCGTCGTTGAAAAGGTTTGTGTCCGTCGCAGTTCCGAAGAAGAGCTTGCCATTCTTGACGGCTAGGTCGTGAAGGCCCTGTCCGGAGGCGAAGGCGCCCCAAAGGGACAAGAGAGCCAGTGTGGTGCGTTTGGCCATCATGCGCGGCATGTGAGGCTGAAGATAGTAAGGAGCGGCTGGGGTAAGCGATGAAAGAAGAGAAGGGATTCGATGCGCCGTCTCAAGAAGCGGGCACAGACTGGACATATAGTGTTCCGCGGTTAGCGGCTCCTGAGACGTAGGGCAGAGGCTCAAGATTTGATCGGATGTTTTGCGATGTAACGGTGCCGGACCGGGGGTTCTATCGTGAGAGGTGAGGGTCGCTGGGTGGTCTGTTGGTTGATTCAGATTGCGTTTCAGGACCGCCCGAACTCGATGGATTGGGACGGGTGGTGGTGTTGGTTCATGCTTGTCAAAATGCAGGGATTGGAACTTTTCAAGGGTTTCTGTGGGCGGCCGGTGGCTGTAGCTTGGTGGGAGCTCTCCTAGAGCGATAGGCGTGGTCCGGCGTGGTGCGGCCTACCGACCGGACTTTCAGACCGGGTGGGGCCGAGTCGGATGTCAGCGGGATCCACTCGAACCGCAGAGGTTCGGTCCCGCGCCGGAGAACGTCCGAACCAACACCGAACCAGCCATGGCCATTGTCAGTCACACATGAGGTATGAAAAAAACAAAGAAAAAAGAGTTCGATTGGGAAAAAACACGAACCAAATATAGCAATACGCACTGCATGACGGCCTGCTGTTGGAAAAGAAGGCAACCTTCGCATGGTCAAGCCGTATATCTTGTTGATATTCATGCGGTATCTAGGAAAACATCACTCGGCTCCGCTCAGACACTCTCGGTTCAGTTTGAAGAAGTCCATTCTGCCGGGACGTATACGCTAATAGACCGGACTCGGAGCCGTCATAATGTGGGACAGAACGCCGATGTGGGTCGCGGAACGCCGCTCCAGGGCGGTCCAGCTCCGTCGCCAATATCACGCCAGACACGCTTGCCTGGCACCGCACAAGCATTTCGCTTTCCCCGATTTCCCGGCGGTAAACAGCAGCTTTTGCATGCCCCGTTTCCAAGTCGGGCGCAGCCCGACCACACAATCTGCGAGTCCCTCGGGTCCATGTCATCGGCAACTACCGACACGTGGCCCCCACCCCCTGACCCCTGACTGTAAGTCTGCCGCCAAATTTCGGGGACTTAAGCATCGCGATGCTAGATTCTTTTCTGCATGATTCAACACCTAGATATACGAGTTGAATTTGAAGTGATTGAATAACTTGTAGCATGTTGCCGGCTTCTGCACTGCGTCCATCTGCTAACTCATCAATCATCAACTCCCAATTCCGTAAATCCGGTCAACGTGGAGATCTCGGGTAGCTTCACCCACAACCCTTAAGAGACCGGGGTGCCAAGACCCATCAGCCAGCCCTCGACACCACCATCACGGTTCGGATTTTTCCTCCCAGTCTCCACCGATCGGGCTGTCACTCATATGGCTGACGCAGAATATCTCCATCACTGCCGGCCGGCACTTAGGAGTCCCCTGCCACCAGCGTGCATCATTTTCCATTCTTCCCACTCGAGTGGGGGATCACTATCCTCGTCGCACATCAGCTTGATGAGGGGTTTGTTTGCATGGCCTCTCCCGTCTAGACTCATCAGATGAACAGTTATTTCCATACACCTGTGGAGATCCTTTCCCTCTTGCGCACCCGCCGGTCGGCGTGATTGGAAGACAGGCCCATGCTTTCTCTAAATAAGGACGCGTCGTCAGGACGCTCGCGATGGGGCCCTGCTTGATGCGGTGATGCCGTTCATCCCATCTGCTTTGCGTTTTGTCTCATGACTTCTCGTCTTACAACGCCGCCGCAGCAGCTTGCTTTCGCACCTTCCTGCCGGCGCTTTACACAACATGAGGCCAGCGGTCAATTTCCGCCCTCTTGGAGTCGGCGCCAGCGTGCGCGGACTCCGTACCCGGAGACCGTCGCCGGCGGCGATTGCGCCGAGTAAGGCGCTCTAGGCCAGAGGTGAACGGGGCGGGTGGACACCGCTCGTCGTAAGCTTGGCACCACTTTTTGGCCATCCCCCATGCCCACGGGCATTGTTTCTTGGTTGACCCGAAGGCGCAGCTTTTCCGATTGAACGGTTGAGAATGTTTATAATAGGGGCTTGGCATGCTTGTTGCTTTCTAGAAGGTTTATCTACTCCCGCTGTCCCAGCTGCCTGGCTTCTTTCGTCCCTGCAGTGCACTCGCTCATCCCAAGTAGCCTTTTATTACTCATTCACAGTTTTTACCCTGCCGCGTCTCTTTTAAGCATAGTGAGTAAACACTAACGCTTAGCGACCATGTACCGCCCATCAACGGCCTGGGCTTTGGCCATCCTCACCTATGTGACTGGCACCCTGGCTGCTGATGCTTCGGCCAACTACACTGAGCAGCTCTTGAGCTCAGGCACAAGTACGTATTGTTATCAGTTCCTTTTCTCCTTCGCGTGATTCTCATCGTTATTTTACAGTCAAGCTCGGAGCCTGGCAGGATGCCTACGACAAGGCCGCAGCCCTCGTCGCCACTCTGACCACGGACGAAAAGATCTCCATCGCTGCCGGTGGCGATGGCGGCAACTTCACCGGCCTTCACAACCTCGACTCGGCCACCAACCCGCTCACCTACTTCTATGTCACAACATGGCCCGCCGGCCTCGCGATGGCCATGACGTGGGACACGGCCGCGGCTGAAGGCCAGGGCCAGGGCGTCGGTGTCGAGTTCAAGGGCAAGGGTATCAACATGGCGTATGGGCCTACCTTGGAGCCTCTCGGCCGCTCAGCATGGGGCGGACGTACCGGTGAGACGTACGGTGTTGACAGCTACCAAGCCGGCATCGTGGCCGGAGCAGTCGTCAAGGGCATGTCTTCGGCTGGTGTGGTCGCCAGTGCCAAGCACTTCATCCTGAACGAACAGGAAACTAACCGAATGAGCACCGGCTCTGGAGGCGGTATGGGTGGCGGATCGCCTCCTGACGGCGCAGGACCAGGTGGTAACTCAACTCTCACCAGACGCCAGACCTCAACAAATGGCACAACCAGCGGCAACTCAACCTCCTCAGATGACACCGGCGCCTACACCGTCACCATCTCAGACAAGGCCTTCCACGAAACATACCTCTGGCCCTTCTACGACACCGTCTACAACGGCATGGGCGGCGCCATGTGCGCCATGAACAAGGTCAACGGCACCTACTCCTGCGAGAGCCAGGACCTCCTCGCCAAGTACCTCAAGGTCGAGCTCGGCTTCCCGGGCATCGTTCACGCCGACGTCAGCGCCCAGAAAACCGGCATCAACGCCGCTAACGCCGGCATGGACCTCTCCTCCAGCTCCTACTTCTCCAACACCACCCTCGGCGCCGGCCTCAACAACGGCAGCTTCACCATGGACCGCCTCGACGACATGGCCATCCGCAACATGATGGGCTACTTCCACCTCGGCCAGGACCAGGGCTACCCTGCCCACGCCGGCGTGACCGACCGCGTCGACAACCGTGGCAACCACAGCGCCATGGCCCGCGAGTACGCGGCCAACTCCATCGCCCTGCTGAAGAACACCAACAACGCGCTGCCCCTCGTCAACAAGTCCAGCATCAGCATCTTCGGGTTCCACGCCGGCCCGCGCTACGTCGGCGCCAACACGGCGCTCGGCGTCTACGACGGCGAGCCGTCCACGATGCAGGGCCATATGGCCGTCGTCGGCGGCTCCGCCATGGGCTCGCTGTCGTACCTCACCACGCCCCTGCAGCTCTTCAACCAGCGCGCCGCCACTGACGGCTTCATGTTGAGGTGGTGGCTCAACGACACCTCCGAGACGTCCTTCAGCGGCATGTCAGGCTCCGGCACGGAGCTGACCGAGTCCACGACCGGCGTGGCTGACCTCTCGGACGCGTGCGTCGTCTTCCTCAACGCGTGGGGCGGCGAGGGCGCCGACCGCACCGAGCTTACCAACGTGGACCAGGATACCCTCGTCACGACCGTCGCGGATGTGTGCAACAACACCATTGTCGTGATCAACACCGTCGGCCCGCGTCTAGTGGACGCTTGGATTGAGCACGAGAATGTTACTGGTGTACTTTACGGCGGTGCGCTGGGCCAGGAGTCCGGAAACGCCATTGACGACGTTCTTTTCGGCGCCGTCAACCCCTCTGGAAGACTGGTACACACCATCGCCAAGAACGAGAGCGACTACAACCCCGACACAATCATCAGCGAGACGGAGCTGAATCTGGACTTCTCAGATGGCAACTACATTGACTACAAGTACTTCGACTACTACAACGTCACCCCCCGCTACGAGTACGGATACGGTCTTTCCTACACGACTTTCGAGTACTCTTCCACCGCCACCGTTGAGTCTTCCAACCTCACGAGCGGCTTCGCCACTGGGGACAAGTCCGTCGGTGGACGCGAGGATCTTTGGGACATCGTGGCTACCGTGTCCACCAGCATCTCCAACACGGGCTCCGTCGCCGGGGCCGAGGTTGCGCAGCTCTACATCTCTTTCCCTGACGCCGCTGGCGAGCCTGTCAGACAGCTGCGTGGCTTCCAGAAGGTGACGATCCAGCCTGGCGAGAGCGCCGATGTGACGTTCTCCCTGAGACGTAGGGATCTGAGTGTGTGGGATGTTGTTGGCCAGGAGTGGAAGGTGGAGAGCGGAGAATACAAGTTGTATGTCGGTGCGAGCAGCAGAGACTTCAAGGCGCAGACGACCTTGACTGTTGCTTGAGCGAACAAAACATATTTCCTGTTCATAGTTATATTAGCGCTTTGTACCTAGATTATAGATCGTCACCAATTCCAAACGTGCACCAAATGTCACCTTGCTATTTTCTATCACAGGCGAGTCACGCGAACGATACCCGTACTTTCTTTCATTTTACTTTGCCCCACTCTGGGCACTGATGGTTAGGGACTTTCCAGGACCGCGTCAATCTCACCAAGTTTTGTCGTCATTGTGCGACATAGTAAGACGCCAGTAGCTAATATCTCATACAGTAAAATTGGTGCCTTTCCCCGTTCCACAGGGTTCTCGCCCCTGTGAGATGACTCAACGGCTAGCATTGCTGCAATTGCTATTGGTGGGGTTTGCACATTGTGTTACCACATCTCATCAGCACCCATCCAATCTCCTACACGTGTAGCGAGGCTTTCTTCAAGGCAGATCTCAGACGCTCGGTTGACCATCGTTCATCGCACTATTTCAGGAGGCACCTCGTCATGATGGGAGCGCTACGATTCCCTCCAGCGACAAGGGCCGTCTCATGGGTCTGGGTCCTGAAGGTACGACGAAAGGAAAGACAACAAAGTACAGCTTCACAATGTCTGATGAAATTGAGAATTCAGAACAGCCGAATATTGCAGAATGGCGATCCATTCTGACTCTCGTGGTCTTCATAATAAGCAGTAAGTACACCATTGGCATCGTCACGTTCTGCTTCGCATGATCTGAACAGATTGCAGACGTCATTGTTGCTTTCCCATTCAAGCTACCTTTTCCGTGTCCCAGCCGCCTGTTCGACCTGTTTCACGACTACCTGGCGGCAGCGCGAGTTGTTGCGGCGAGGCATGCTCCTCTCCGCTCTAGTGCAGGAAAGTGGACGTACATAATTATGCCATTAGACCTAACGACGGCCCCGTTACTTGCGGTCCTGCTTTTGTTAGCAAGCACGGCTATTGGCAAACGGCAACTGCTAGAGGGTACAATCGGCACAAATGATATCTCGCCCTTCGACATTCTCGCTTTTGCATTCACTTTGGGCTATATTAGTAGCTCGATTGATGCGGCAGGGTTTATAAGGTATCTCTGCTACACGATCCTCTTTCGTCGTAAACTCGGCCATCGACTGTTCTTCTTACTCTACTGGGTAATGTTCCTTTTGGGATTCTTCTTAGGGAATGACCCAGTGATTCAAATGGGTATGCTATTCGTCACTTATTTGATCCGAGCATCGAATAATATCAAACATCCACGAGCATGGTTATTCACGCAATTCGCGGTAGCAAATATCGCATCTGCAGCAATGGTCTCATCCAGCACCACAAATGTTATCATCGCCCAAGCATTCGGAATCGGATTTGCTGAATATACAGTAAACGTCATTGTGCCGATCATCGTCACCGCTATCCTCTTGTGGGCTTTTCTTTTATACATTTTGTTCGCCACTGATAGGCTTATTCCGGCCAGTATCCAACTGTCAGAAATACCCGATGCAACTCAGATGGGGATGGGGGCCAATCCCAACTTGCCTTTCACATCGAATCCAGCCTCATCATCCAGTGTCTTCAACCCATGGTTGGATAAGGGCAGTGTGCTTGTTGGCCTATTTCTGATGTCAGCAACACTTGCAATACTCTTATCTCTCACTGCTGTAGGCTTAAACGACATTCCTGTGTTTTGGGTATCCTTGCCAGCGTCCTTTTTGATGCTTTCTTGGGACATCTTTTGGGTTTGGAAGTACCGTGGCGAGGCTCGCGCAGTTCTGTTACGTCATGATGGTGAGATCAACCTGCGCCAGAGCAGGCTCCGGTGCTTGCAAACTAACGATAGAGATATGGAGCATGCGGAGTCTCCTGAACCATCTTTGAGCGACGAGATTATCGCAAGACCTCCAGGACGTTATGAAGAGGCAAATTCTCCTGGTTCAAACGTGCCTGAATCTCAAAGTGGCATGAAACAGGACCTCGACGTGAGCCGATTCCAAGCGTCAGATGACACCGATCAACAACACTGCACTGCCCAAGAGAGCCAAACCGATAGTTTCAGGATCCAGCAAAGAAACCTTGGCAGACAGAAAGAAATGTCGGAAGATATCGCCCATGCAAAAACGAGCATTGTGGACACTGCTGCGGTCCATTCAACCCCTTCTGAGATGTCGGCAACAACGAACCATGCCGTAAACGACACTCGCCCTTCGGCTGATCCCCAATTACTTCAGCTGCCTTCAACCGCATCGCCAGAGTCAGCCCGAGTAACGTATTGCCCACTCACCATGACGTCTGTCTTTAAAAAGACGTGGGTTTGGTTACAGGCGACATTTCCTTCAACAACAGTGGTCTTATCCCGCCTTCCCTACCGACTGTTGCCGTTCGTTTTGCCGGTTTTTATACTCGTCCAATCACTCGTTTCGACCGGATGGATCGCTTTGTTCGCGAGCTGGTGGAACGCATGGGTGGTCAAGACAGGTACCACTGGAGCGGTTGCGGGAATGGGTTTTTTATCCGTACTTCTATGCAATGTATGTGCGTTGCCCGTCATTTAAAGTACCATCTGACAGCATCTCCAGTTTGCAGGGACGAACGTTGGTGCTACAATCCTGCTTTGTCGCCTCCTCCAAGAATGGATTGACATGCGCGCTACCAGCGGTGTTGCAATTAGTAAACGAACCGTTTGGGGTGCTGTATATGCGCTTGCATTAGGCGTGAACTACGGCGCCTTTTCACTGACGTTCAGTGCCTCGTTGGGCGGCTTGGGGTGGTATGAAGAATTGAAAAAGAGACACATCCACTTATCGCAACGAGAGTTTGCAGGAGTTAACAGGCCAATAATAGCGGCAAGCATGATCCTTGGTTGCACCGTTCTGCTAGGGGAAGTGTACATCACTAGAGACAAAACAGCCTATCAAGGTAGATAAATCGCTGAGAATAGTTCTATATCCACCAATTGGTGTCAAGGTTGCTGTGAGTTGCACGTAATGTCAGAGAAACACGACCGTGGTGGCTGATGAGGTGGGCGTTCCGACTAGGCAACCTGAAAACCTTACCTTAACCGTCTCGGGTATCACCTTGTGGGGCCTTTGAAGTATCTTCCTTCGCTCGATGTTTTGATCAAATACCACTTCTCGGACGATAATAACTAATAACTCCTGACACTTTTCTTGATCCCGAGCAACTGATAACTAGAAAGTTTGGAAACGCGCTCAAGTTGCCAAGATGTTCGCATTCTTCAAGCAGTACCTCAGATCGCGTCCAGCGCCGACCAGTTCCATTTTGGGCGCAACTGGTCGCTACGACTTCCTCGACGATGACTTGTCCATCCGCCGAGATATCATCCAGGACATCCATCGACTACTTCAAGCCAACACAGCCTTGCTCAAGAAAGAAAATAGAGGTGACGTTGCCAAGCCTGGGGACAATTCCCGACCCGTGATGTTCAATAGTCGCGATGTTATCAACCAGGCGCGTTTTTGCGCGGCTCTATGGTCCTTAGAGCGCCTGCGCCTCGACGCTATTCATCGGAGTCTGTCAGCGAACGAGGATGGCTTTCCTGGTGATCTCATGGAATCTTTGGGAATGGTGCATGAGTTTGTGTGGTGGTGTAAGTTTAATTGTGTCAGCTTGTGTGTTCTCCGGACTGATGTATGTTTCTTTCTAATCACCCGCGTGCCACCAGGTAATCGAGATACGACAGTGCCTCGAATCGATACTCAGATAGAAGAGGTATGGGTAACAGGTAACTTGAAACACATAGGAAAGCTGCTTACAGTTCAGTAGGCCAACAGTCGTCGCGCCGGTGCAAGTGTTGCATCACCGGCAGGGATAATGCAGAACGCTGCTACATTATCCCCTCCTGGACCCTGATGCGTCCCGAAAGGACCGGGTGCCTGATACTGAACATATGTGGTCTTTTTGGTACAGAGGCAATGGATCATCTTAGGAGACTCGTGAGGGACAGGATCAACGCCGCTAACAATATCATCTACTTGAGTCGAGAACTGCAGAAGCTCTGGGACCAAGGTGTCTTTGCCTTAGAACCTCTGGGCTACGATTCAAGGCCCAAGGAGCGCGAAGCAGGTGCCTCAGTGGAACACCTGGAGAAAGAGGATCTTAGACACTGTCTTGAGCTCCGCTTCCATTGGCTTCCTAAGACTTCAGTTCAGAACCTGAGAGAGACTGCGTCCCCCGACCTGCTCAACACTAGCCCTCGCGACCTTATCCAAGAATTCGAGACGAATGAAGGACCTCAAGCCGATATCGGTCGTTGTATCAACAGCGGGGAAATCATAACCATTTGGGCAGACAGGCGTAAAGACCTTCCCGCCATAGAGTTCCTTAGGGCTCGATGGCTCGCTTGCCTCATTCATCGCTTCAGCGGCAGTGCAGACCCCAAGATATATGAGCCTCTCTTCCCTAATTCAGACGATATATGCGCTACTTGTTCTATGCTTAGGGATGCCGCGGAGCTCCCCAAACTGCGGGAGCGCTTGGCGGACCTAGAACTCCGCGTCAAGAACAGAATGGCAGATGTTTAAGGAAACTGGCTGGGAAGGACAAGAAGGAGGAGAAGGACAAGGGTGGCGGAATTATTGTAGTTTATCTAGAGGCTATATCTGTCTGGAGGATCTTGAAGTGTTCTGGGGCTTTTTCCATTGATGTTCTGTCTCGCGGCTGGTGAACGAGCTGGAGTCCCTGACAGCAAACCCAACAAAGCAATATATCAAGATAGATTTTTAAGACCGGAAACCTGCACACATATTATGGCCATCGTTGTGTCCTACCGTCCTTATTCTCTATCTTCATTCGTCAACTTCCTCTTCCGCTGTAACTGCCCTCTGCCAATTTCGTCATCTTCGCTATCATTGTCATCCACTACTTCTGAATTTTGACCATCGCCCTTCATGATGATTGTCTACCGCCGTTGTTTACGGCCGTCCAGCATCCTTGGTCGCCGTAGTCATCTCCGATATTCTCGTCTTTTTGTCTTTTCTATCCATGGTGTATGGGCCATCCTTGTTCTAAGGTATTCGTGCTTAAGCATATGCTTAGGTAACCTTGGTGTGCTGGCAACCTTGAAGGTAAGTTACCAACATTGTTGAAAACACACGCCGCTGACACACGTACCTACCGTAATAGACTGAGTTTTTTCACGACAAGCCCTATGAAGATGTCCACCAACCATCAGGATTCTGCCTGTGCACCCGACGGAGCTTGATGCTTGCCAGCCGCCCTCGCAGCATGGCCGCCATCGGTATTGCGCCTCAGCGCATCGACGATCTTGACGAGGAGGTATTGGACGAATGACTCAATTACATTGCTTGGATCCACCATTGCCTGGAGAACGACTTCCCTAATCTGATAGATATGCATAGCAAATATGATGTCCACAGTCTTCACGACACCTCCCGCCCAGAGTCATACACCTATCGACAGATTCTGAACCAGGTCGGATACTGGTCAACATTTCTGTCTCTGCCAACGAAGAGACTCAGAAACATTCACAAGGTATTGAATGACGAGGATCCAGAGGAAAGAGATGATATGTTCCGCATATGATCGGTATCCATGGATATCAGTGGTGCCGCAAATGCTTTGGATGTGTGAGTGTTGTTTCCGCCCTGGAATCATCACAGTGGACATCGGCTAACCTCTTCAAGTCACAAGAAATCCAACCGACAAGAAGACGGTGAAGGCAGTGAGGAGTTCAACGGCAGTGGACTGTACCAAATCGGTTTTCTATTAATAGCGCTAATGATGACAACAGGTTCGCCAGCGAGATGGCGGGGTGTGCTGCATCACGGGGAAGATAAAGGCAGAATGTTGTTACATCTTCCCTTTCTGGACCAGCACTCGCAACAGGATTTGGCCTATGATGCATCTCATCTGCACGTTCATTGGTCCTGGATACAAGGTCCTCGCATCGCGCATGCAGAAGTTGGTAGACACACCACAGAACATGTTGCACCTGAGTAGCCAACTGCACAAGTACTGGGTTGAAGGAGTCTTTGGGCTTGAACCTCTGAACTACGTCTCCAGGCCCAAGAGCATCCCTCGGTCTGACGTGGGTAAGGGTAAAAAGATGGATGGTGTTGTGGATGACGAGGAGCCTCAAGAGATTGAACACGGCATCAAAATCCGCTTCCACTGGCTTCCTGCCACATCGCTTGAGCACATGAAGGTCGACAACCCGCATCCTTGCACAACAGATCCACGCAGCTTGTTTGTTCCGATTCCGTTCGTTCGAGACTTTTCACCCTTCGGACGTTGGCCAAGGGCAGTAATTAAGAGTATTGCACGTCTCGAAAAGTTTCATGGACCTAACAAGTAGTGTCCAGAACATCAAATCTTACAAGAGACCGGACTTCGTAAACAAATCCTCGGATCCGCCCGGTCCACGTCATAATCCAGGCCAGCCTCATATGACGCAGGGATAAGCGCTGAGAGCGAAATGAAGAGAGAACCCCGTTCCCAAGGTTCATAACACTAGGGGGTTGGACACTGTCAATATGAACAAAGACTTCAAGGAATGCCTGGATGGGCAAATTTTCCTACCTTTTGCGAGTTGGGCCTCGTTCAAGAGGAACATTTCTCTATCAGGAACCCGTGTGGACAAAGTGGCGTACAAAATAAAAGTCCATCTTCTTTCGCATGGACAACTATGCAATACACTACTTCTTCATACAATTTCCACCCACACAAATACGCTTGAATTTGAGCAAAGTCTCCTGTAACCCCCTGGAAAACCCAGTGCGCAACATGAGCACCACGGCAGATGTGGACAATTGTCCCGGCCTGAGCTCTCCTTTCGAAGATGATTTGTCCAGTCGACTTGACCTCATTAGCAGCATTCACAACCACCTTCATACAGACAAAAAGAAGCTCAGATTTGATGTTCTCTGGGACAAAGGCAGACCAGGTGATAATAACCGCCCGCGGACATATCAGCTTGGCGACGTTTTGCCGCAAGCGCGTTTCTGGGCTACGCTTTTGTCCTTGGATATTGACCGTCTGAGGGCTCTTCACGACGAGACGCTGAACGATAGAGGTTACCTCTTCGGCTTTTTTCTAGGGGCAATACCGGAGTTTGTCTGGTGGTGTGAGTCTGACCACTTACCTTATCCTTGCATGGTCCGAGCTAACTGCTACCACCTAGTCATTCGTGTCCCTCTAGAGCATTCAGAAAATACGGCCGACATCCGCGACGGCAATAGGTGTTGTATTACGGGCCAGAACGATGCTCAGCAATGTCATATTATACCTTTGTGGACATCGATAAGACGTGAGAGAACCCAAATCCTGCTAAGTGAATTGTACGACATTTTTGGTTATGAAACCGTGACAAGAATTGAGTGGGCGGTCGATCGCAAGCTTCGCAAACCATCTTTAATGAATACCTTCTTTTTGAGCCGACATTTACAAGCTATTTGGCAAAGTGGAGCGTTTGTCTTAGAAGCCGTGGGCTACGTCACAAGACCCAAGCAGACTAAAGAAGACGGCGATGAGTTGTGTCAGTCAAGTAGCCGGGGCCCAGGCTCATTCATGGCAGCAGCCTTTCGATCAATGAGTAGATTTACAAAGATCGGCAACTCCCCAGAAACAACTACATCGTCCGAAGGAACGGACCAGGTCAACGGGCAGGAGTCCAAACTCGAGTATGCCCTCGCCCGAAGCCTCATCAATAATTGGTCCCAGGAGCAAACCGACGCAGACCCTAATGAGTATGGTCTCCAATTACGATTCCAATGGCTCCCAGTAACCTCCCTCCATCACTTGAGAGCGGATGGTCCCGATTTGCGCACTGATCCCCGCACCATATTCAAGCCTTTGAAAGAGCGAGATCAAGAGTTTGGGGGCCACAACGCAGGCCAAATCAGGGACGGCCAGATCTTCACAGTGTGGCCAGACAACATCAAAGACCTCCCCAACTGGGACTTCTTGCAGCTACGGTCCCTCGCGTGCCGCATCCATCGCTTAGGTGGCGGCGCAGATCCCAGCCTTTACGAGCCGCCACGTCCTGATTCGGATGACATTTTTGCAGTCGGCGAGCTGCATAGAAAGTTTGAGGAGAAGTGCAAGCTGTAGAAGCGTCTTGCCAAGCTTTACAAGGAGCTAGGCGGCGACAAAGATGTCCTTGGTATGGATCCTACGAAATGCCACTTTTGTGGTGCTGACGGCGACTCAGGTTCCGGATGAACAGAGCCGATAGGGTTTGCAGGACAGAGTTTGTGTGAAATTAGTGATCAAGATTCATGATGGGCCAGACAAGTACCGTTTGAAATAATGTTCAATATCAAAGGCTCTCATACGCATTGCTTTATATGCACCAACGGAAACAAGACTGCTGGTCATGAGGAAAGATTTGGAGGAACGATATCTTTGTAACAAAGTAAATAGTCTCAGTGCAACACCAACAATCATAACCGGCTGTGTTATGACGCAATCCAACTTCCTAAGCACAACCGTTCAAAAGGTCACCCTTCTTGGAGCAGCACGACAAGAACTTGTCATTGCTGGTGGTTACGCATTCCCGACCCGACAGACCCCCCATCGACCCGATTCCAATGCAGCAGTCTTTTGTATTTACTCTGCTATCGCATTGACAGTTTGCTCGTTTTGTCCTGCACCATGGTGTATCAGCGAAATTCATCTGTGATTGATGGTAGGATATGGAGGTAAATCTCTTACAAATGATGGATACCTGTTGCCCTTCTCCATTATCGCGCACAGCAGCTGCCGTCAGAACGCCGAAGAAGGAAAAGAATATGCATATAGAGGTCAAGATTCTCATTTTGACGGTGGTAGTTTATTCGTGAGGAGTAGGATTTCCATCATGACATGGAATTCATTTGAAGAGACATGCATTCCACTTATAGAGTAACTGAGCATAAAGAAAACGTGACAGTCTACATATATCTGATCCAACTAACAGTGAGTATTTAGAGTTTTCACTGATATCTAGGCCTTGGTGAAATACACCTCGTGTGAAGGACTTGCTCGGTTGTCTCACTGATTGGGCGAGGTTTTTTGGCCCAATCCGGCTAGCGTTGTTGCCGTTCTAACTCAGGCTCGCCTCAGGGTGGGGCTCAAAGTAGCTCAGGCATATGACTGAGTAGCTCAGGGACCCATCTCTTTTTCACTATGCATTAATTATGTACCGTGCACAAACGATACCCACTTAATTATGTATATACAAAGCTCCTAGAAGTGTATAGTGCATATGTGTCTATGAAGAAGTAATGACTACTCGCTACAAGCATGTTTATTCATCTAAACTAACTACAGGAATACCAGCCTGGTCAATGAGGCGACGACAATGTGGGCAGGTATCCAACCTTAGGTAGCATCTCTTGCAGGTAGTGTGACCGCAGGGCAGTCTCCGTCGCCTCTGGTCAGTCGGCCGCTCTAGACATATTGGACAAATCATGTTGAAAAGCCTTTCCTTGTATTGGCGCCCTAGACCACGATGCACACCACAACGACCTTGGCGTCGCCTTCGAAAACACGAAATACAGTTCACCTGCGTTATATAGTCAGT